GTCCTGCCCCAAAGGACTTGGGCAGGCGCATGGGGAGGCACAAGAGTTGGGAGCAGCTCCCACAGCACTCGGTGCCCAGCCAAGTCCAAGCAACGGTGTTAGCCAGCATCCCTGGCCCAGAGCCACACCACCAATGGGGTGTGTTCAGCCGGCTGAACCCTGCTTACCACATAGGGTCTTCTGCTGAGCGTTTTGAGGCCCTTGAGCACCAGCTGACGCATCGCCGTGCACTCACTCCTCAGGTATCTTGGGAAGAGCTGCATGACTCGAAGACACTCCATTTTGAGGTCCTCACAGTCCAGCATCTGAAAAACACGCCTCAGTCAAGGCTGGAATTGGCCAGCAGAGACCTCGCTCACGGGAAGCACGAGAAACCGCAGACAAGTGTCACTCTGGCAGTGTGTGCCAAGGGGATGAGCCCCAAGGGATGAAGCCCTGCCCCAGCTCCACCGGCCAGCCTCTCCCCACAGCTGTGGCCACCAGAGGGTGGAGTGGCGAGAGGCAGCTCAGGCCGGCACCGCTTGCCATCGGGCTCACCTCGACCAGGAAGGCCATGGCGGGGACCTTCCAGCGTGGCTCGTTGTTGTTGAGCCACGTTTCCAGATACAGCACAATCCGTCGGCGCTCTGTTCTTGAGACGTATTTCATCGCCCTGGCAGAGGGAAGAAGGCAGGGTGAGTCCTGAGCAGGAGTCCTGAGCAGAAGTCCTGAGCAGGACGGGTGAAGTGCTCCTGGCTCTGTTCCAGCAGCCACCAGCATTTCATGCTCCCGGAGGCCTGGTCTTTCCCCACCTCTCCTTGCAGGGAGGAAGCCAGCGCCCCACAGCAGCGTGCACCTCGGGTGCACCATGGGCTTCCTGCCCCTTCTGAGGAGACCTCATTGGTGCCCACGGGCAATTCACGCGCCCCGGGCTCTGCCGGTGTCCCTCAGTGCCCTCACCTGGCCAGCAGACCCACTGCCCAGTGGTGGCTCTCAGCGTGGAGTAGCATCTCCCAGATATTCCTCTTTCCCAATTCAAGCACCAGCATATCATACCCAACACGGCAGAGCAGTGCTTTCAGAGTCAGCAGTGCGAACCTGCAGGCAGAGCACAGCCCAGGTCACACCCGGATCCCTGGCCCAGGCTCCAGGACCATGGGAAGGATGGGAGGAGGGGGACGAAGCACCTGCTAGGGCTGGTGGCAATGCCCTCCTCCTGCTGGCATTCCCTGAAGAAGGTCTCCACCTCTTCTGGTGTCTGCTGCGCGCTTGCGAAGATTTGGAAGAGCAACACCATCAGGGGTAGAGAGAAGCTCATCTCCTGCTCCATTGGGTAGTTGGCTGGCCGAAGGAGCTCCCACAGCACCCTGGTTGCCTGCAGAAAAGACCCAGAGATGGCACTCACTGCTGAGCCAGCCCCGTGGCACGGCCCCAGTGTGGGAGGCCGAGGCTCAGGTGCAGACGTGGGCCGCAGGAGATGCAGGCAGAGCACCCGGCCTGGCTCCCATCCGGAGCTGAGCCACAGGCAGCCTCCCTGGGGCGGTGGCAGTGTGCCCTGGCTGAGCCTCCTGCGGCCTGCCACCAGCCTGGGCTCTCCGTCCCAGCCCCTGCAGCCTGCTGGGCTGTGCCTTGGCCCTGGCCTGTCCCCTAAAATGCCCTAAGCCAGGTTTGCAGCCCACCGCCTGAGGCAGGGAGACGTAGTGACAGGGGAGGAGGGATAGCTGCCCCGAGATGCAGCCCCTGGGGGGAGAGAGGGCTTGTTCAGAAACTCACGGCCAGGGCGAAGACATCCGTGTTGTCCCCGTCAGAGGTGGACGTCCTGTGAAAGGGCCAGTCCTTCAGCACGTGGCACAGCTCTGTCATCACCTTCTTTTTAGTCCGGGATGAGACGACCATCACCCTCCACATGGTCACGGCAGCTCTGCAGGGCCAGAGAGCTGGGTCAGGGGGGCCTTGGCCACAGCACCAAGACCTGGGCACCCGTGGAGGGGCCCAGGCTGGCTGCCAGTCCTACCTCTGCCCCCTGCCCCTCACAGGCAGCCCCTGGCGGGCCCTGTGGGGCAGGGAGGGATTGTGGTGGCAGGCTCTGGGGCTGACTGTGCCAGGGCTGGGAAATGGGGCGATGCAGAGCTCGGCCCCTGCAGAGCACCCTGAAAACTGCCATCTGCCTGGCAGCTGGCAGCTGGATGGGCTCGAAAGGCTGACGGGCCCCGAGCCATCAGGGCAGGCGGGCCCCATACCTGTCGCACGCTGGGGAGCAGCGCAGCAGAGTCACCACCACGTCGTGGGGGTGCTCCTCGGCCAGTTCCAGAAGGCTCTTGTCCAGGCGGTGCTGGGCAGACTGTTCTGTGTTGGACACGAGCCACTGGTAGATGCTCCTCAAGATGCCCGGTGCCTGAAGGAGAAAGGGCTGAGAGTGGGGCTGCTGCCAGAGCAATCCCTTTCCTGGGGTCCACTGACAAGCGCTTCTCTTCCCACCACTCAGGGCTGGCCAAAAAGGATGTCACATGCCCAGCAGACAGAGCTTCAAGGGGGGCACACGATCCCCCAAGGGCTTGAGACCCACTGACTGGATACTTACATGATGTGGAGGGATGACACTGTGTAGTACACGCTTATCCAGCTCGACTGCAATGGCCTCCTGCTCCTGATGTTGCTGCTGCTCCTGTTCTGTCTGGTCCCAGCCTGGATTTGGTGAAGACCAAGCACAGACAGAGCTGAGGGTCCGTGGGAGAGGCTGGAGGACATAGCCAAGACCATGCTGCCCAGGCAGGGTGATCCCCGAGCCAGGAACTAGCTGGGCACTGAGCCCAACCTCTCTTGTGCATGCATGGGAGCCAGGTGTTCCCCAGCAGACGCGGCATGGTAAGGGCGGAGAGCCCTGCACCCCACAAGGTGCTTGCTGCCATGGCGCAGGAGAGGTCTGTAGCCACAGGATGGCTGCCCACGGCCTGCCTCTCCCTGCTCATCCCATGGGTTTGGACGGTTCCCCTCGCCCCGTGCCACATGGGACAGCAGCTCCTGTGAGGACGGCAAGGGGCAGAGGCAGCTCGCAGCTGCCAGCCCTTCAGCCCAGCTCAGCCTCTCACCTGCCTGCAGCACCTGCACCTCGGTCAGCTCATAGGGCTGCTGCGCTGGAGAGGCATTAACCTTGGCCTCCTCCTCCTCCGTCCAGGCCAGCTTGGGCATGCTGGGGTCTCTCCCCGCCATGCTGCTGAGGTCTGGCCTCAAGGGCTCCCACCACAGGGATGGGAAACTGCTTCCAGGAAGCACCAAAGACACGGGCAGCAGGAATGGGGTGGCTCTGCAGGGACTCCTTGCAGCTCCACTCCTTCCCGACCTGTCCTGCCTCGTCCTCCAGGAAAAGTGGGGAAACCAGGCTGCCAGCAGCATTTCTATCCCGGAGGTCACAAAGGGCCGTTGCCTGGACACAGCCCGCATCATGGCAGCTCACAAAGGGCCCCGTGACCCGCTGCCACCTGCCTCGCCCCTCAGCCCCCTCCTGCCACCCCATCCCCTCACGGCTTCCCAGTGCCCCAGCTCTCTGAAGCACCCATCAGCAGCCCCTTGTCACAGGACCACCAAGCGCTGGCTGGGAAGGGACCTGTGGGGCTGGGTCACCAAACCTGTGGTGACAACTTGTGGAGCCATCAAGGCAGGTGGGCCCCAGACCTGCCGCACGCTGGGGAGCAGCGCAGCAGCGTCACCACCACGCCAAGAGACTCCTGTGCAGACGGTGCAGCAGGAGGGTGCCGCAACCGTCCCACCGAGACAGGCTTATGCTGAGCATTGTCCAGCATCTCCTCCTACTTCTCTGTTGGCCATACTGGCCCCCAGTTAACTTCCCACTGATTCTGCTCCCCAAAGGGCATCCGTTCTGGGTGGGACCCCACAGCACAGGGGACGAGAGTGACCGAGAAGGAGCGGCAGAGAAGAAGCGCTTGTAGACTGACCATAACCCCCATTGCCCCGTTCCCCTGCGCCGCTCGGGGGGAGGAGGTGGAAGAGGGTGGATGGGGAGGAAGGTGCTTTTGGTTTCTTTCCTTTGTTTCTCACTTCTCTAGCTTGTTAGTAATAAACAACAAATCTTACTATCTCCCTATGCCGAGTCTGTTTTGCCCGTTACGGTAACTACTGCGTGATCGCCTTGTCCTTATCTCAACCTTTGAGCCCTTTTCACATATTTTCTCCCCATTCCTCTTTGAGGAGGGGGTGAGAGAGCGGCTGTGGTGGAGCTCAGCTGCCCACTCGAGCGGAACCAGGGCAGTAATGCTACGGCTTGATACTTCCACGCTTCTCCTTCTTGGGGCTGCCTCAGTGAACCACACGCTGCTGAAATCGGGCTCAAACTGGGGAGGAGCATGTTCACCGGGGCAGGAAGGGGGCTTCTCATCTGGCTTAACCTCTACTGGTTAGCGCATGGGAAGAATCTGAGGTGTGCCCTCCTCTATTCGATGGGCATGCCCATAGGGAGCTCGTTGCACATACCATTTTCTAAGGGATTCCGTTTGCACCCCGGCGGCAGGGGTGGGGTTCCGGCAGTTACCGGTCACTTGAGCGCTTTGGAGGGCCCTGGCAGAATGGTTGGCTCATGGTTTATCGTTCTGACACCCCCCTGTGAAGCTGGACGGACTACAAATGGCCCTTTTCCCAGGTAAAGTAGGGCTTCTCGGCATCCTTGAAACTTCGGGAAAGTTTGCTTGGGGCGAGTGGGACCTTTGGATCCGTGCTGCCACGTGTGAGGTGAGAGCCCGTGGGTGGCATGGCGGCCTGGGATTTTTATCTTTTCTGCTGGAGCTTGGAGCCCTCAGCTGTCAAGACGGGCAACTATATCCTTTTGAGTCTGCCCCACCACAGAGACACAAGACGCCGGGGCCACCAATGAGCACACCGTTGAAATACCGATATGCTTGAACTCCTTCCCCAGGCGTAACTGGGGCAAGATGTTTAGTCTCATTAAGTCACCCCCAGCAATTACTCCACAGCCAGCCATTCGCTGGAGGTTCCCAGTCACTTCAGGGCCCAAGTCTTCCACGATTTTATTGCCGCAAAGGAAAGACACGCAGATGAGGGGAAGAAGACGGACTGCTTGTCTGGGGAAGGCCAAGCAGATCTGGGAGCAAGCGAAGGGGGCAGAAGGTCCTGAAGGCTGGAGGTGTGACACATGCTGGGAGAGTCCAGGGGACACCCAGCCTTCCACACGCTTTTGGGTGGCCCCAGCACACAGGATGCCTGCCATCATCCCTGTGCACAGCAACAGCAGCACAGGAAGGCCAGTGCAGAGCACTTCTTCCGCGCCTTCCAGAGCCGGTACCTCAGCCGTCGTAATCCAGGTACACTGCGTGGCAACCTCATTGCAGCTCGTACAATGAAGAGGGTCTCAGTTGCGAGCGAAGAGACAGAGGAACTGACGTCGTCCGTCATGCCTTGAATGGCTGTGAGAGAGAGGAGCGGAGGCAAGGTCAGAGCCTGTGTTTGCGGGGACCCCGGGAAGGGCCCCATCCCTGGAAGTATTCAAGCAAGGTTGGACGGGGCTTTCAGCACCCTGGTCTAGCGCGAGGCATCCCTGACCAGGCAGATGGGTTGGAGTTCGATGACGTTACAGCTCCCTTCCAACCCAAAGCATTCTGTGACTCTGGTTTTATGATTCTACCAGCTCCTGCTGTGGCCAGCGCCACCCAGCTCTTCCTGTGGCCAGGCAGGAGCAGGGGGCAATCCGCCGATACCCCGCTGCCCTCACTTACCTTCATAGATGATGGGGAGCTCCTCCTCATGCCAATCCCTCACTCGCCGTGCAATGAGCCCTAGGTAGTACACACAGCCTGTCACAAACTCTGCCCGCCAGCCCTTCCCAGCAGCACCCCTTCCCCATCTACCCCCCGCTGGCCCTGCTGGCCGGGCCACCTCCTCCTCCTTCCCTCGGGCACAGAGGGACCCCGGGGCTCGGGCTCACCGATGAACCTGACAGCCTCCAATCGCAAGGGCTCCTGCGGGCTCTGCAGGTATGGCAGGCTCTGGCGCAGGTGCTCATCCAGGCTGTTGTCCTCCAGCTGCACAAGAGAGAGCGCAAGGGCATGGGGCTGGTGCAGAGCCTTCCCCTCGGACAGCTGCCTGCCCCATGCCCTGGGGCGCTGTGGGCTTGTCCAGTCTGGGTCGGGGCCTTCAGAGCTGTCCTTACCAGGCACTTGCCGAGTCTCCATGTTTGCTTTCCCTCCAGCAGGTCCACGAGCTGTGTCCTCTGCAGGAATTTGGCAGCATCGAGAAGGGTTTCCTCTGCGGCCTGAAGAGCAGCAGAGACTTTGAAGTGGCACCCCCAGCTCTCAGGGGACCTGTGTCCCCAGCCCCTTGGCGAGGCTGCAGGGGCTGCACGCCTCTGCACGGCCCAGGGCACTGTGTGGGGCAGGCTGACCACAGGGAGCAGGCGTCTGCTCCGTGGTGTAGTGCCCGAGGGAGCTGGGGCTGGATGCAGGGAGCAGGGATGGCAGCAGAGCCCACGGCTCCGTCCCTCCTGAGGGTGCTCAGTCCCACCCCGGGGTGTCAGCATCGCCCTCCCCAAATGCCCACGCTGGGCAGAGAAACCAACCTCGGCCACTTGCTGGTTCTCGTCGTGCAAGTGGAAGAACAGCGGGATCACGCTCTGGCGCACGTGTTTCTTCAGCTGCTTTTTCTTCCTTGCTGCAAAAAGGTGGCTCATCACAGCTCTGAAGAAGTGGATGGATTGCAGCTGCGTGGAGCTGGATTCCTGGTGGGAAGGAAGAAGTGAAGACCTCAGCACCAGCTGCTCCAGGCCCACCTGGGCAAGGGTGTGAAAATTCACAGGGCACAATGCTTCCTGACAGCACCCAACATCCATCAGGAAAGGCACAGGCCCTCAGAGACCCCCGCTGGGCCCTGTGCCCTCAGCCTTACACTGTCAAAGAACGCTGGCAGCCTCTCTGCCAGCTGCAGAGCGGTGGGGCTGGCCTTGCTGATGGTCATCTCCTTGAACATGTTTTTGAGCACAAACAGTGCATTTCCAGCCACGTCCCCTTCCAACTCTGGCAGTATCCCCATGATCTCTGGCACCAGGAACTCCATTTTTTTCGCCTGTGGGGAGCAACAACACCGTGTTGGGCTGTGCTGGCAAACACTCTCAGGCTGTCAGAGCCCACAGTGCCCAGAAGCCACGGTCCTGCCCCAAAGGACTTGGGCAGGCGCATGGGGAGGCACAAGAGTTGGGAGCAGCTCCCACAGCACTCGGTGCCCAGCCAAGTCCAAGCAACGGTGTTAGCCAGCATCCCTGGCCCAGAGCCACACCACCAATGGGGTGTGTTCAGCCGGCTGAACCCTGCTTACCACATAGGGTCTTCTGCTGAGCGTTTTGAGGCCCTTGAGCACCAGCTGACGCATCGCCGTGCACTCACTCCTCAGGTATCTTGGGAAGAGCTGCATGACTCGAAGACACTCCATTTTGAGGTCCTCACAGTCCAGCATCTGAAAAACACGCCTCAGTCAAGGCTGGAATTGGCCAGCAGAGACCTCGCTCACGGGAAGCACGAGAAACCGCAGACAAGTGTCACTCTGGCAGTGTGTGCCAAGGGGATGAGCCCCAAGGGATGAAGCCCTGCCCCAGCTCCACCGGCCAGCCTCTCCCCACAGCTGTGGCCACCAGAGGGTGGAGTGGCGAGAGGCAGCTCAGGCCGGCACCGCTTGCCATCGGGCTCACCTCGACCAGGAAGGCCATGGCGGGGACCTTCCAGCGTGGCTCGTTGTTGTTGAGCCACGTTTCCAGATACAGCACAATCCGTCGGCGCTCTGTTCTTGAGACGTATTTCATCGCCCTGGCAGAGGGAAGAAGGCAGGGTGAGTCCTGAGCAGGAGTCCTGAGCAGAAGTCCTGAGCAGGACGGGTGAAGTGCTCCTGGCTCTGTTCCAGCAGCCACCAGCATTTCATGCTCCCGGAGGCCTGGTCTTTCCCCACCTCTCCTTGCAGGGAGGAAGCCAGCGCCCCACAGCAGCGTGCACCTCGGGTGCACCATGGGCTTCCTGCCCCTTCTGAGGAGACCTCATTGGTGCCCACGGGCAATTCACGCGCCCCGGGCTCTGCCGGTGTCCCTCAGTGCCCTCACCTGGCCAGCAGACCCACTGCCCAGTGGTGGCTCTCAGCGTGGAGTAGCATCTCCCAGATATTCCTCTTTCCCAATTCAAGCACCAGCATATCATACCCAACACGGCAGAGCAGTGCTTTCAGAGTCAGCAGTGCGAACCTGCAGGCAGAGCACAGCCCAGGTCACACCCGGATCCCTGGCCCAGGCTCCAGGACCATGGGAAGGATGGGAGGAGGGGGACGAAGCACCTGCTAGGGCTGGTGGCAATGCCCTCCTCCTGCTGGCATTCCCTGAAGAAGGTCTCCACCTCTTCTGGTGTCTGCTGCGCGCTTGCGAAGATTTGGAAGAGCAACACCATCAGGGGTAGAGAGAAGCTCATCTCCTGCTCCATTGGGTAGTTGGCTGGCCGAAGGAGCTCCCACAGCACCCTGGTTGCCTGCAGAAAAGACCCAGAGATGGCACTCACTGCTGAGCCAGCCCCGTGGCACGGCCCCAGTGTGGGAGGCCGAGGCTCAGGTGCAGACGTGGGCCGCAGGAGATGCAGGCAGAGCACCCGGCCTGGCTCCCATCCGGAGCTGAGCCACAGGCAGCCTCCCTGGGGCGGTGGCAGTGTGCCCTGGCTGAGCCTCCTGCGGCCTGCCACCAGCCTGGGCTCTCCGTCCCAGCCCCTGCAGCCTGCTGGGCTGTGCCTTGGCCCTGGCCTGTCCCCTAAAATGCCCTAAGCCAGGTTTGCAGCCCACCGCCTGAGGCAGGGAGACGTAGTGACAGGGGAGGAGGGATAGCTGCCCCGAGATGCAGCCCCTGGGGGGAGAGAGGGCTTGTTCAGAAACTCACGGCCAGGGCGAAGACATCCGTGTTGTCCCCGTCAGAGGTGGACGTCCTGTGAAAGGGCCAGTCCTTCAGCACGTGGCACAGCTCTGTCATCACCTTCTTTTTAGTCCGGGATGAGACGACCATCACCCTCCACATGGTCACGGCAGCTCTGCAGGGCCAGAGAGCTGGGTCAGGGGGGCCTTGGCCACAGCACCAAGACCTGGGCACCCGTGGAGGGGCCCAGGCTGGCTGCCAGTCCTACCTCTGCCCCCTGCCCCTCACAGGCAGCCCCTGGCGGGCCCTGTGGGGCAGGGAGGGATTGTGGTGGCAGGCTCTGGGGCTGACGTGCCAGGGCTGGGAAATGGGGCGATGCAGGGCTCGGCCCCTGCAGAGCACCCTGAAAACTGCCATCTGCCTGGCAGCTGGCGCTGGATGGGCTCGAAAGGCTGACGGGCCCCGAGCCATCAGGGCAGGCGGGCCCCATACCTGTCGCACGCTGGGGAGCAGCGCAGCAGAGTCACCACCACGTCGTGGGGGTGCTCCTCGGCCAGTTCCAGAAGGCTCTTGTCCAGGCGGTGCTGGGCAGACTGTTCTGTGTTGGACACGAGCCACTGGTAGATGCTCCTCAAGATGCCCGGTGCCTGAAGGAGAAAGGGCTGAGAGTGGGGCTGCTGCCAGAGCAATCCCTTTCCTGGGGTCCACTGACAAGCGCTTCTCTTCCCACCACTCAGGGCTGGCCAAAAAGGATGTCACATGCCCAGCAGACAGAGCTTCAAGGGGGGCACACGATCCCCCAAGGGCTTGAGACCCACTGACTGGATACTTACATGATGTGGAGGGATGACACTGTGTAGTACACGCTTATCCAGCTCGACTGCAATGGCCTCCTGCTCCTGATGTTGCTGCTGCTCCTGTTCTGTCTGGTCCCAGCCTGGATTTGGTGAAGACCAAGCACAGACAGAGCTGAGGGTCCGTGGGAGAGGCTGGAGGACATAGCCAAGACCATGCTGCCCAGGCAGGGTGATCCCCGAGCCAGGAACTAGCTGGGCACTGAGCCCAACCTCTCTTGTGCATGCATGGGAGCCAGGTGTTCCCCAGCAGACGCGGCATGGTAAGGGCGGAGAGCCCTGCACCCCACAAGGTGCTTGCTGCCATGGCGCAGGAGAGGTCTGTAGCCACAGGATGGCTGCCCACGGCCTGCCTCTCCCTGCTCATCCCATGGGTTTGGACGGTTCCCCTCGCCCCGTGCCACATGGGACAGCAGCTCCTGTGAGGACGGCAAGGGGCAGAGGCAGCTCGCAGCTGCCAGCCCTTCAGCCCAGCTCAGCCTCTCACCTGCCTGCAGCACCTGCACCTCGGTCAGCTCATAGGGCTGCTGCGCTGGAGAGGCATTAACCTTGGCCTCCTCCTCCTCCGTCCAGGCCAGCTTGGGCATGCTGGGGTCTCTCCCCGCCATGCTGCTGAGGTCTGGCCTCAAGGGCTCCCACCACAGGGATGGGAAACGCTTCCAGGAAGCACCAAAGACACGGGCAGCAGGAATGGGGTGGCTCTGCAGGGACTCCTTGCAGCTCCACTCCTTCCCGACCTGTCCTGCCTCGTCCTCCAGGAAAAGTGGGGAAACCAGGCTGCCAGCAGCATTTCTATCCCGGAGGTCACAAAGGGCCGTTGCCTGGACACAGCCCGCATCATGGCAGCTCACAAAGGGCCCCGTGACCCGCTGCCACCTGCCTCGCCCCTCAGCCCCCTCCTGCCACCCCATCCCCTCACGGCTTCCCAGTGCCCCAGCTCTCTGAAGCACCCATCAGCAGCCCCTTGTCACAGGACCACCAAGCGCTGGCTGGGAAGGGACCTGCGGGGCTGGGTCACCAAACCTGTGGTGACAACTTGTGGAGCCATCAAGGCAGGTGGGCCCCAGACCTGCCGCACGCTGGGGAGCAGCGCAGCAGCGTCACCACCACGCCAAGAGACTCCTGTGCAGACGGTGCAGCAGGAGGGTGCCGCAACCGTCCCACCGAGACAGGCTTATGCTGAGCATTGTCCAGCATCTCCTCCTACTTCTCTGTTGGCCATACTGGCCCCCAGTTAACTTCCCACTGATTCTGCTCCCCAAAGGGCATCCGTTCTGGGTGGGACCCCACAGCACAGGGGACGAGAGTGACCGAGAAGGAGCGGCAGAGAAGAAGCGCTGTAGACTGACCATAACCCCCATTCCCCCGTTCCCCTGCGCCGCTCGGGGGGAGGAGGTGGAAGAGGGTGGATGGGGAGGAAGGTGCTTTTGGTTTCTTTCCTTTGTTTCTCACTTCTCTAGCTTGTTAGTAATAAACAACAAATCTTACTATCTCCCTATGCCGAGTCTGTTTTGCCCGTTACGGTAACTACTGCGTGATCGCCTTGTCCTTATCTCAACCTTTGAGCCCTTTTCACATATTTTCTCCCCATTCCTCTTTGAGGGGGGGTGAGAGAGCGGCTGTGGTGGAGCTCGGCTGCCCACTTGAGCGGAGCCACAACATTGACTTGCCTGAAACTTAACAATACCTTATACTGACGTATAGAGGTACACAGGAGAGCCATAGACAATGCACTTTCCCCAGTTCAGTAAATCCATATGCTCCCTGCGTCAGCATATCCCAGGATTTACCCATAGTTTGAGGTTTATTGACATATGGGATTGTGAACTGTCACATTTACAAGTCCATTCAACAAGAGCTTTCAAATAAAAAAAGACTAATTATGGCAGCAGCGTTCAGATTTAATTTTATTGCCTTTCTTACACCGTATCAAAGCCAAAGCAATACAAAGAAAGTGAAGAAAAAGAAGTAAAAACCAATGGGGCTTCAGCTGCCTAAACTCCACGTGTAGTGCCATTTCAGATTACCTGCCATAACCTGCTTGGTTTTCAGTTGCCATATTCTAGTGGTGTGCTCTCTCATGTCTCTGCTGTACTAGACACTCCAGTTTAGGCAGCTGAGTTTCACCCAGAGGTTACAGAGACACAAACAAAATTACAACAACAAAGATTTCATACCTTAATAGCTAACACAAAACAAGTTTGCCCTATTAACAGTTTCTTTCACAGATACAGTATCAACTCATAGAAGGCACCGAAGGTACAAAGAGAAAATAGTCTGCAGTAAACTGAGGAGCAGTGAAACAGGAGACTGCAGGCTGACGTGTCAAATCAATTACAGCCATTTATTTTCATTACAAATGGCAGTCTTCATGGCTCTAGAGTAATCTGACTTATGAGTAAACTAGAAGAGCAATTGCCACGCTCAGTAAGGAAGAGCTGCTGCAGAGGTTCACTGAAATCGTATGTTGGACAAACTATCTTCCCCGTTCCACTTCTGTCAAAGAACTTACTACTATTTTCAGGTACTACTTCATGTAATTTCTGTACATTGACTTAAGAAGTTAAGACTTTTCTCTGTGCAAGTACAGATACTAGATCAAAGTCCCAAATCCAAATACCACAGACTTTTGTGTATTTGTATGCATTTGGAATTCAAATTACAGCTTTGTCCTCCAGAAGAAAGGCTGAAGTTCTCATTGAGTTTTTTGTGGATTCTGATGCTGAAATCTGAATACTGTGATTGGAGATTTCATAGTATATTAACTTTGATATATTCTGCGTAATTTCTTGATCTCAAATTACAAATAAATACATACATCAAATTTATTAACACCAGGTTTTCTGTTATAATTTTAAACAGTGTTGCTTTATATTTTCCTGTCACCAACTACTACTACTACTTGGGTGCAGTCTAATCCCACTGCACCTTATGCATATCAGATGACTAATATTTGTGGATCAGCTTTTCATCAGTAATATATATATATTTTTGTCTTTATCACAGGAGTGCTCAAGAGTGAGAGAAAAGCTCTTAACTAAACTCTCATTGCTCAATATAGTCCTGAGCACTGTTTCAGAATCCTTTTCAGAGACAAGTTCATCAAGACTCCTATTCAAAGCACACTGAACTCCTCGTGAGTTTTCTTGTTAAGTTCAGAGGCTTTTGGCTTGCTCCATGAGAAAAAGAAAGCCTCCATTGGAAAGTATATCTAAGCAACTCTTCCAACTTTGGGGATAAAATTAATCTCCTACATACATAGGTCAGCCACAGCAATTTGCTGGGCATAACAAAAGAAAATCATAACTCATTTCCTGTGTGTTTTTAAGACAAAGATGTCTGTACCAAAATAATCTAAAGTGACTTTACTACAGACCAGATCATCACTTATTATCAAAAAGGGATTGACTTAAATCCCAATCAGAAAATCAGCTGAAGCTTTTCAAAAGTCAGTTATTATATGAAAGTAGTTAAGTGTATTAGGTGGTAGCAAGGTTTCTAACATACCTTTAATAGTTCATCCTAACTTTCTTCCCTTGCAGCAAGTCAGCTGATCTTTCTGGGGCTGATGTGCAACAGAGCCATTGAGCAGATCCTTCTTGTGGAATACATATGCTTCAAATGCAGAAAATATATTTTTAATAATTATATACTGTAACTGAAGTGAAGTAGTGTAATGAATATACTGGACAGAGAATTAAGATAGAAGATATAACGTGCATTTTCTTTTTTGAATCTGTTTCTATTCTGAAGATGAGAAAATCTATTCATCTGTCTGTTGATTAGCATGCAACTGGGGCAGTAAATCAGTACTTCGCATTCCATTCAGTTCTTGTGCAGTCTTTGGTTTGTCATTCACACAGATATGGAAGAAGCAGATTCATCGTTTGTCATCTATGAGAATAAACAAGAAAAATAATTACGTGTTAATATTACTTGACTGCAAAGCTCCCAATATCGTCCTTATCAGATATCTTTAAATTGCCCAGAAAGGTATTCTGCAAAAGACACCTGGAAGAAATGTAAATGATAACCGGAGTCAGGGTGAAATGTGCATGGAGAAGCTTGGCTTCTTCATTGGTGGGCCTCGCCTCCTGCAAGCTCTTGTGATGAGAGCAAGTCCATGGACCTGCTGATTTGGTGTCAATGACATCCACCACTGATTAAGGAGACACTGGGGAGGCAAGGACAATCCCCCAATAAGGAAGCGGCAGACAGACAGAGAAACAGATGTAAGGACCATAAATCTCAGAACAGAACATTGGAATTCATGATAAAGATACAACAAACAGAAGAATCAGCAAAAGCCAGCTCTTGCAATTAAGAAACGTGCCAACTCAGCAGAATCCTGACCAATGGTGAAAAGTACACTGTGAGGAAGACTCAGGGTCTTCCTCCCAAAGACCACTGCCCACGTCCCAAAGACCCCTGCCTGCAATTCTTGGGAGGCTATACACAGGCGCAAGTTGCCAAAAAGCTAATTAGCATGAGAAATGAGGGAAGGTGGGGATAGGTGATGAATATGTATAGGCGCTTGTAGAATATTAATAGATTGTATACATTCAAGACTGCTCTCCGCTTTGGGTATGCATGATAGGTGGAAAGATCCCCCGTGCATCCAGCGCTGCAATAAAGAATATACCACTTAAGGAAATTTCGGCCTTCATCTTTGAATCACCACAACCACGGAAATACTATGGAATACTATGGGAGTAGTCCATATATGAGAGCTCAGAAATTTCCTTGCCAGAGCCGCAGAGGTTCAAGGCACAGTACGGATGTATACTCTGGCAAGGACCTTGCTTCACAAATTTTATATACTAAATCTAAACATACACAGAAAAAGAATAGCAATAGCAGTGGGAATATGACTACAGTGAACAGTTGCAGAAAACATGTAATCTGAAGTATCAACATTATACAAAAAGTATATCACCTCATTTGTTTTTCTTCTGTATTCTTTTGTTAGTTCTGAGGGAATTACTTTTACTCCCAGAATACTGGACATAGGAAGGAGTACTCGAATGAGGTAATAGTGCCAGCATGCAAGGCAGTTGGGGAAAACACCTTGAAGAAGACTGAAGCTGGTTGGAGACTGATCTAGCATTCATTGCATGTTGATAATAGTAACTATTTAAACCTCTATTGGATTCACCATATGGATGAAAGGAATAGGTTTCAGGGAGGGAAGGGCTGTAAAATTATTAAGTTTTAGGAGGGGGTGGGGGGTGAAGATTATACAAAATCAGGGAAATACCAGTACAGTGCTTTCAAGCATTCACTGGATAGCTTGCTTGAGTGAGACCTGTTACCAGATATTTCAATTAGAAAGAGCCTTCAAAGGAAGGAGAAGTACGATGCTGCTGTATACAAAGCACAACCAGTTGGAGACATCATTAGGCACTTCACCATTCAGAGGTGCCAAAAGCTATAGGTCCTATTTACCCAGAGATACTTAAACAGATGCCCCCACCTTCCTATTACCATCTTAGTAAAGTCATCTGCGCAGGCTGCTTGTATTTGTTCAGCAGTCAGAGGGCTGTTCATTGCGAAGGTCTTTTTCAGTCCTCTTTCATTCCTCACACTAGTTACCGCATCTCTCAAAGCAAAGAACACAGAGCATCCCAAGAACAGTCCTGCCTCGCCTATCCCCTGAAAAAAAAAAAAGAGCAAATGAGAGGAATACATGGCATATCGATAGCAGCTAAAAAGCTTAGAAGTCAGTGACTCAAAAACTGTTTCGTTCTTTAGTTTTTCTTAGATTTAGTGGAAGCAGGCTTCAATCACACCAAGTCTGCTGCTGTTTGATGTTTCCCGAGATCTAAAGAAGTTGCTTTCAAATACTGGCTATTGATTTCAGAATCTTTTTGGCTCCTTGATATGCTGAAATTTAGGATAACTGACAGATAAAATTAAAACAATCTGAACCCAATTACAGGTACAACTAAAAAACACTCTGAACTCATGCTAATTCCCTGCAGACAAACAACACTGACCTCAGTGGGCTTGACATCCTCTCATCGTTATAGACATGAGATTTGCATTTCTACGTTATCTCAAAAGCAGGTCAAATCCACCCTTTCAGAGTCCTCTCTCTGCTAAGGCATTGATTATTTTAATCTGAATTATATTGGAATATTACAATGGAATCTATCTCCTTGCTGAAATCTGAGAACCAAATGTCTTCCCCGACCATGCTGCGTGCATGAAGAAGAATCACAATTTCTTGCAGTGAATTCTACAGATAATCATAGGAGATATGTTCACAGGAAAGGATAAAAGCTGTTTGAAGATGGATATTAGTGTCAGCTCTCTAGAATCAAATATGTAACTAGTTAACCTAGACAAGTTTTAAAAAAATCTCATTATGTATCAAAGACACCTTTAAATAATTTTAAAGAACCTATTTGTTGTTTAACTTTCACCTTAAAATATGCTTTTCCTTCATGTCATGCTGTTTTATTTTAATGAATTCTAAAAACATACCTAATACCTAAAATATCTGCATTTTTGCAGAATTAGCTTCATCTTGAATTTATCATTAGTACTCACATGCAACTGACAAGAATATTTGCTGCTGGATATTAAAGCAATGATTATACCAGCTGAATGCCTGAGCCAATCTCATACATAAATACATATACACTCCTATTTCTTATTGCTTACCACATGTAAGATGCACAGTCTCATTGTCATGTTTTCCCTATCAACTCGTTAGTCATTTTTATTCTATTCTATTATCCCTTCAGTTTATCACCACATTTTTAAAAGTATGGTTTTAAATTGATCTTGCAGCTTCTGTGTATGCCCTGTTAATGAAATACTAAAATTACTACTTGCAAGCTGTAAAAGATACACAGCATTATGTCTTTTCACACCAGCTTCCTTGAAGCCAAAAAATAATACAATTGCATGGGGATCTGTTTGAAATGCTAAAAAAGAACCCAAAGTGTATATACGTTTTATAGCTGAGTAATTTTTCTGATTGTCCTGGGATCTAAGAATCAAGCTTTGTGATGATTTGCTTACCTTGGATGCATAGATGGCATAAGGATTTTGGGAAGATGACAGCAGGGAAACTCTAAACCGTTCCGGAATATCACAAACAGCAGGGATCTTATACTGATCTGGACCCCGAGTACAGAGTACTCCTTCTGGAGAGTACTTCAATTCTTCCATTGTATAAAGTCCAATTCCTTGAACAAAGGCACCTTCAATCTTTCAATAAGAAAAGATACAGTATTTACGTACTCATGTTTGATAAAAATACATAAAACTTTGTTAAAAAAAGATTTGTATCGCTAGCTCTTAGGAGAAATTTCTTTCTTTCTTGCCTATGGGGATTCTTCAACATTTTGTGGCTAACATAACGGGAAAAGCTTTTACACGCCTCTTTCCTACCAGAGAGACTAGTGCATCCATGTTGAACTGATGAAGTCTGTGGCCCAGCCTGCAATGAAAAAAGGTGTCTCCCTTGTGATATATAGAGTAATAATTTGTGTCAAGAAGATGGCTGATATTAATAAAGAAGGGGGAGATGTGGGAGTGTGGCCATGGGGGTCGGCAAGACCCATAGTTGGTGATAACATCAGACTCTTAATGATGAGGCCATCAGGAATGTAAGGAGTTTAGAGGGAGGTTGCTTGTTCTCATGCCAGTAAGGCATGGGAGTTGCTGGGGGGGTTTGCTTGTTGAAACTGTTAAAATTTGTTGTTTAATGTTATATGATAATCATATTATTAGCATGGTTTCCCGCATTTCGTTAACCCTTGAAAAGACGGCCTTGCATGGGTTGGTGTCGATCACATTTTGTTGCTTTCGGGAACCTTGTGGATAGCATAGCATGTTAGAAGAGGGAGGCAGTCAAAGCCACCCCTGTGATCTGAACGAGATCCAGGAACAACAGGTTGCTAGTGGTGATGGGGGGGAACTGTGAGTCTTCATCCCCATGACCGCAACGACCACCACCAAGAGACACTGTGCAGGTGCCAAAAGGAGGAGTTTGTGAAAATACTAATTATAATACAAAGCGGGGATAGGTCATACATGTGTATATGCATACTCGGGTTTCTTATGAATATGTAAAAGCAATGTTCTATATAGTTCGACGGTTGGGTGTGCATGTTGGCAGAGCATAGACTCCTCGCGCACCCAGTGCTGTTTACTTGCCTTTTATAAATATTACTAAATTCAGACTGAGTTGTATCTTCATTTATAACACCCTGCTATCAGGTAGGAAGTCTGATCAAACAACATGAGAATTTGGAGACTGCAAATGACAAACAGAACTTGAGTCCAGCAGATAGTGGGCATGTATGAACACAGGAAGTAGTACAGGCTGACATCGGAGGTCATAGATAAAACTCAGGCTGTATTGACATCTCCAAGAGCTCTGACATTGACTCAGATGAGGACAAACTACAACTAAAGGATATTGTAGCATCACCTGTGATTAATATTCACTTCAGATAAGACTATCAGTTAAATAGAAATAAGACAGCAAGAAATCATTGGCACATACCTGTCCTATATCCACAGCTGGATTTATGCTGCACCCAATATCCATAACAATGTCTGTTTGGAGGTTCTGTCAATAAAATTCAATGTCATATTACTGAGAGAGATGGACAGTGCAGAGGCATTAGATGTAACAATATAGGTTACAGTGACTACTCAGTAAAATAACATGGACTTAAAAACATGCCCTTCCACACACACAATTTCAGAGTATTTTCTAATATCCCATTACAAGCAAAATGGGATTGTCTCAGTTTTAATGGAATTTTAGTCTCAGCTAGCCTTTTCAGATTTTTCACATTTCACAAGGAAATAAGTACACATAATGGGTGTATGATCAGCATGCTATGACATCTACCTTTCTAGATGGTAAAGAGCCTAAAAATAGAATATTTCATTCTGCTGTAATTGGTTTGCTTACTAACAAGGAGAGAACAGGCAGAGAACATCAGGTGTCTGCTGCAACCCAAAAGGTGAACCTATATAATATTAATACAGATGTGCCAGAAACCACTTTATGTTGCATAGCTGTCATACTGCTCCACGTCTCATTTGCTTTCATATTATTGATATATACATGTATATTAACGTATGAAAACAGGTGATTTATTCATGCAAAACCTGAACGGTTGTTGGAGCATCCAGTGATGCAAACAAGTTTAGAGGAACATTATTCACATTATTTCCAAATTTAAATAATACGCAGTTATTACCTTGTGATCTCCTGTTAAACAGTTAATTTCAACCTCTGAACAAGCAGCTCCATAAAGAAAGTATGTGAATGGCTGTCCTTCCCCTTTCTCCCAATCCATGTTTTCATTGTAACCTCTGATGGAAAAATAAGTCCACAATGACTACTGAATGTTTGTATCACGACAAAGCACGTGAAAAGAAGAGCACTTGAAAGTCTGAACCTATTTCAAGTGAAATCTAAAATAACAGGTGCACCTGGTTGCCAATACCAAATGCATGTTCTGGTGCTGTCACTTTTTTTTTTCCCTGTTGTGCAACTCAGTGTGATCATGTTTTAGGGAGAAAAATGTTAATAAGGTGTAGTACAACAAAATTCATAGTTTATAGCAAAATAGCTTCAGTAAATAAACTATATCCCAATTTGCACAGTTGCTGTTATGTGCAGCAGTCACTTCCTCAATGCTTCCTGGTTTTGTAATGGAAGAATCATGGACCAAATACAGGATGAAATATTCTCTTTATGCTTTCTGGAGTCCACAAAGGGCCAGACATAAATTATCCCTTGAACTTAATATTCCAACCCCTTCACAAATCAGAACTTACATAAAATATAAGCTCAACCATTAAGAAGAACAATTGGACAGGATGTTTTATCTACTGAATTTGTATTTTCAGAAATAGTCTTTTTTTTTTTTTTTTTTTATAACCATGCATTTTAAAAGAACAAAAATAATTTACCTAAAGTAACCAGTAGCTGAAAGACTCACACTCTGTTCAAAAGCTTCTTTGATCTGTAAAATATAGCATGTTTTGTCGTAAACCAAGGAAATAGACACTTAGTTGCACATGATCCCTTAAGACTGTAGAACTAAACTGTCTTTGGAAGAGCAACATCAATTCTTTTGGTAATTCTTGCAGGAATAGACCTATTAACAGGGGTAATTCTTACTGAATGGTAACACTAGAGTCAGAAAGGGTCCTTCTTGATTTTACTGCTCAGATTGAATAAAATGGGTTCATCTTTGCCAGTTGAACAGGTCTGGGTGATATGTCACTGAGACAAAAGATCTGCATGACCTATCTGCACAAAAATGACAGCTGACAAGAGAAATGCTCTTTACAGTGTTCTTCTGCCAGTAGCTTAAAAATGAAGTCCTAAGTCTACTTCCTTTCACAGTGACTGTCCTGACAGATTTATGTAGTTTGCAAGTCAAGAAGTTCTTTAATATATTAATTACAATTTACTGACTTTGCAAGACATAAAATTATTTCTCTACATAGATTAATATTATTTCTTATGTCAGCTATTTCTTCTAATATTTTGAATATGTCTGAATTATCCAAGCTGATTTGGCACCTATTAGAGAAGTGATGGATTTTATTTTGCATACATCGCTGTCAGTTACGAAGCTACCACAGGTATTACAACATTAATTGCTACTGCTAGGAATTAATACTGACAATAAAGTATTTACATTTTTTTGCAGTTGCTACTGTGTTTAATCCCTCGAACAGAAACACCCTAGCACACTGGATCTGTAAATGCCTCAAGGTAGGGATTGTCATTTTCATTAGGCTGGTGATATCAAATAATACTGAGCAAGCAGAAGTAACAAACAGGCTTTCCTCTAACATACCAATGCAGCTAGATTCACAGCCATATCTTTATAGAAATAGGTGATAGAGCAGACAACTTTTAGTTAAGAAAATGTCTTGTCTTAAAATTCTATTCCCATTTCAAGAGGGCACTAGACGGAAGCTATTAATATAAATTTAGCTTTAGTAGTGCTTTAGCACTACTTCTGTAGTGCCTTACTGCAAATGCAATTGATACTATAATGAATTACATATTGTAGTAATGGGAACAAGTATTCCTGATACTTCCCCCCCCCACCAGTTCACTGTGCAAAGCAGGAAAACGGAAGGATGAGGTTGAAAATGCTTCTGTTTAGTGATTTGGTAAAAATAAATAAAAACCATGAAGGAAAACCAACAATGTACACCTGAAAATCTTTTTGCAATAGTTTCTCTGAGTGCAAGCTGGGGTTGGCCACATTATTACACAAGCTGGTATTTTTTGTATCTTAAAAACTTCAGTACCTCCAAATGTGACTTCACAGATAGCTTCCCCTCCTTTCCAACTAGATATGATCTGGGGATTGTTAAACAAACTAGATATAATCCGGGGATATCTAAACAAACTACCTACATCTCAAATACTCTAAATCAACCTATTTATGCAGCTTTTATTTTTAAGATTATCAGGCTGAGAAGACCAATGGACAACAATCCATATGTCATAGTTTCTGCAAGCACAAAAACACATTTAGTAGAATTCATGTCTCTCACCCAATCATTCCAGTTTCCTTTTGGGTTCTTGTTGATAATAGGCTGCAAGCGTTTCATAAGGGTTTGGCAAGCGTCCTGATGAGAAGTCAGAATAAAGTAACAGAAGATTAACAAACACAAGTTTGGCACATAAAATACTATTTAAGACATGCTCTGGGTAGTATTTAGTTAATATATGCTTCACTGTCATCTTAAAGTATGGCAGAACATGCCATTTTAACTGCATAAACATAAACCTCAAAAAGGCATGAGTTACAAGGGTTGGAATCAATATGAATTGGATTTAGAACAGGAACATAATGTAGGATTTGTATTGGACTAGTTAGCTTCTGTCTGATGAAGCAAGGATTTTGTCAAACATAAGCCTTTTAAGGGGAAATTTCAGGTCACATTCTGGAACTTCATAAGCACTGTTACCGAGAAGTTACCAACAATTCATGTTTCTTCTTGGCAATCTCCAGTGGTATTGTTAGTAATCTCAAGCAGTTTCCATGGGATCACTAATACTTAGTATGGCAGGCATTCAATACCACGAGGAATAGGGTGTTTTGTTAGACTAAACTTTTTACCTTCACAGCCATGCCATTGACATCTGTCCCTGCAGATCCAACTGAAGCACATGCATTAGGAACAGTTGTTGTGCTTGTTTCACGGAAGTGAATATATGACATAGGAATGTTCAATTCCCTACTAGCAACCTGTTTCAGGAAGCAGAACATACTGTTTCAGAAACATTCCAAACATTCCAACTGCTCCCCCCAGTACTTGCTAGAAGTCAGCAGTACAAAGAAAGACAATGTTTTAGCAAGTTCCTCTTCTAACCTCCATGTGTAATTATTCTGCCATGTTTGTCAGTACAAAGATGCAGAACTAAAAAGCAATGTTTTTACTGCACTCAAACTCTGGACTGAGATTCTGGAGTCCAACATTCAGTCCCAGATTTTGCTGCTTAAATCCTGTATGATTTAGGGTAAATTATGCATTCCCAGATCCCAAACTTTCCTCAATTTCATTATTATCTTTATAGATCATGTCTTAATTATGAATTCAACAAAGATGATAATAAAACAGATAATCTGAATAGAGACTGTCTTCATTTATTTGTTTTTACCATGGGTTATATGGGACCAGACCCAAAATATCTTATTTCTAATAAGCCTCTTCACATATAACTGGAATAATTAAAAATAATAATAAAAAATTCCTCTTCCTGCTGTCCCTATGACTCTTTAAGAGAGCATCTTTACTTTTTAACTCTATCGATGCAAAGCAGCAGTGGCTATGCTGATGAAGGAGCTGTCCTACCAGTAGACTAAATAACCAGGAAGATAATCTTCCTACTCTTTATCTATACAACAGATAAAGCACAAGGTAATATTTGTTTGGATAATCTGTTACCTGGATCATTTTTGTATGAATACCCTGTCCCAATTCAATTCCACCATGTGTCAAAAGCACAGATCCATCTGTATAAATATGAACAAGAGCAGCAGCCTAAAACCAAACAAACCAAAACAAAAATGTTTTGTATGTAGTGATGAATTAATGGATCAAAAAATAAAGGCTTTTTTGTTTAATGCTTTTGAATAGTAAGAGAAATTAGGAATGTTAGTCCCTGCTGTTCCCCTATAATAAGCTTCAAAACAAAACAATACACATCTTTGGAAGTCTGCTTTTCCTGTTGCTAGATCCTCACATAAAACTAGACCTGGCAACAGAACCTCAATGGTTCCAAAGGAAGCTGCAAGACCTCCCTCATTAATAGCTGTATATGCAAATAGCTGCAAATTTCATTTCCTGAACAGCTACATTAAACAAAATATATAGACCAAAAATATTACTGCCCTCCTTTTCTTCCTTAAATTTACTCTTTGATGACTTGAAAGGATTAAGTATAAGATTCCATAGTAACCCCATGATCAGAAAGAGTAAGCTCAGAGCTATGTCTAAAGTGGACAACTTATCCAATAAGATTTTTGTCATCAGTCCTAAAATACTCTTCATTAAAGTCTTTCAACTATATCACATCACAAGAGATGTGGCTGGCAGGGTCTAAGCTGCCTGGGTCCTAAAGACCAAACAACTTTGAACTCAAACTGAAGACAGCTGGAAGCTAGTGTACCCTCCTGGGAACAACCATTAGGAGGACAGTAGTTTTCCAGAAGTAGAAAGATAACACTTTTGTCTTGTATTTTAAAGTAGAGTAGCTGCAATCTTCTATGGATGAAAAGTTTCGCTCATTTTTTCTTTAAAGAAACTAACCTGAGAAAGATAACGTGTGCCTAGTCCAAATGGAAACTTCATTGGAACAATGGCAATCCCTTTTTTCTTCCAGTAATTTTGTTTGTTAAATTCCTCGACAGCTGTTTTCCTACTGTGGTATGCAGATTTCTCCATACATTCGTTCCAACACCGTACTAAGTTTTGCGGATCAAACTTTTGTTTGAAGGGTGTCTGCTCATCTTCCTTATACATATTTATTTCCCTAATCTGAAATAATAAGATTAACAGATACCACAATCCAATCATATTATAGGCAGACTGACCATTTCAGAGGGGAGAGGGAGGGCTAGAAGACAACTAGTCTAGATTATCATATATTTTTTGAACGGTTACCACTTTGGTTCAGTTTGCAAGAGTATGCAAACTCATGCAGCAATCAGACATTATTAAGAAAATAGAATTTTAGTACAAATTATGTTTGATTTAGAAATGACTTGAGCTAATCCAAAGGATATTTTAACTTCATAGATGTCATTTCAGGAGAGGAGATGCTTTTATATTGTCACCTTTTCTGGTGATAAACCAGTTTTATCTGCAATGTCTGTTATCCAAGTTTCCGTCACCAGTGCTGACTGGGGAAAGCCAAACCCTCGAAATGCTGTGTTTGATGGCAAGTTTGTTTTGCAGGCGTAAGCCGAGCATCTCAAGTTGGGAATCTTGTATGCATTGTCCATTTTTAATAAGGATACTTCTGCTACCTGAAATATAGAACAAGCAGGTATAGATAAATGTTAGAACAGTGCTTCTTTCAGATGCACATTTAAATCTTCCTCATCTCAGGAAGAACTAACTTGACACAATTAGCTTTGAAATTAGGTTTCTGTAAGTATTCTTACTACCAATGATTGACACATACATATTTTTTTCACTCTTTTCTTAAGTAGCATAGTATATTTCAGTTCTTCTGATACTCACAGAACACAGCTGATGTTACTAGTAGTTGAGTGCCAGTAGCTGCTTAGTAGATAAAGATTAAACTGGTAATTCATTCTTTTTAAGACTGGTTTTGCTCCTACTTTGATATCAAAAGCCATATAGAACTAAAACCAAGCAGATTAGATTTAAAGCAACAGGAGCTGTGAAAGGAACTGATGAAAACATTCTGAATTATCACATCATATGAAAATTCCCAGTTAGTGCTTAGTTCCACCAGAAAACATATATTCTATGGTCTATTGTGTCTTCTGGTTCTTATGTGTAGGTTTTGTTTATCTAGTTGCTTTTAAGAGGTTTCATGTGACAGACAACAACACAAGAAAAGAGAAATCCTGTATTAGGTATCTCTAAATTAGTTTCTATGACTCAGTATCAAAATAAGTTAAAAATGTTTTGATGCCTCATGATGAGGTCACTCATCAATATTTCAATATTAAGTAGACTACTCAGAATGGTAAATCTAACCCTGTATTCCTACTGTTTTTACCAAGCTTTAAACAGTAAACTCCAAAATATTTCTGTATATGAACAATAGGAGAGAGTTTTGTTATAGTAACTGCAGATGAAGAGTGTCATATAATGGTATTTTTTCACTTAAAAAAATGTTAGTAATTTGTGGGATAAAACAGGGGCATGTTTTTGTTGTTACTACAACAACCATTATAGACTTGTTATATAGTTGTATTACAACTCTAACCTATGCCAAAGTTTCTTCCCAGAAATGTCTGTTCTAATCTTGGTGCTTTTAATTATGGATTACTTTCCTAAAGCAGGTCATTTTTTCAGAAACAAGCTAGGCAGCAATAGTATAGACAGTTGTACTGACAGATTTCAGAGCACAGAAAATACTGCCAGGCAGGGCAGTAACCCAGAGAGGCAGTGACCTCAAAAAAATGTTTCACTTATTGCTAGAATAGCCTATGCAAGCACAAATACGTAGTGAATGATATTAAAGCAAGTGACATTTGTTAGTTTGCAGACCTATAAGTAAGGAACTGATGTATACAGCATGTTACGTGCAAACCCAGTACAGAAATGGATAGAGCCAGTAATAGGACAATTATCACTATGATTATTTTCTGAAGATTAGGGAAGGTCTTCTCAGCTTTGTAGACACAAAACTTCAAGCAGGCACAAATGTATGTACTTTGTATTTTAGAAGGAACATATTGTTATCTGATGCGTGTAATAGGAAAATAAGCCTGAGAAACCATGCATGAAGTGAATGTGTAGAAAAATACCAAAAAGTAGTATAGCAGTTCACTGAATGGAATAAGGAAAAGTAAACTGCTAGGTGAAGATCTTCTAGCAACATGCAGTCCTTAAAGCAAAAGACTGTATGAGTAACACTATACCTGTGCAAAGAAATATGGCATTTGTCATTTTCCATTTAATGATTCCTTCATGTTTTAAGATTCATCAACTTATAATATCCTTACCAGGACAGATTCATCAGGGGTGCATCCTCCATTAACGTAATATTTGGCATCCACAGCTCTGATCCTTCCATCATTCATGAAGCCAACCTACAATGAATCAACAATAACCTTCTTAGATTTTTGACATTCATTTATTTCCTTGGTGCTTGTGTATTTTGCAAATGAATATAAGCCACTCCATCAGGCTTGTAGTGCACAGTTGATTTCTGAGAAACATTCACTTAAACAGTAAAAGGGCAAGAGAAAAAGAAAGTATGTTCCTAAGCATTGTTTTTCCTAACTGACATCTGCGATCCTTACAGGTACGGCATACAAGAAGCCCGCTGGGGAAGGAAGAAGCAGAGAAACTCAGTGGCTTCCTGTGTGTTGCTCAACAGATCACAGAATCACAGAATTGCAGGGGCTGAAAGGGACCTCTAAAGATCATTGGGTCCAACCCCTGTGCCAAAGCAGGTTCCTTAGAGCAGGCTGCCCAGGTAGGCTGTGGCTACACAGATGGCTGTGTCATCTAGGAATGTTCACTGTAGACAAAGTCAAATCCCTCTCTAACTATAAGAATAGATGGCAATTGCAGCAAGACATTTGCTTGTCTTAATGAAAAAATGTTGTTTATTTTACAACTCTTTTCAGCTGTTTAGATTAATGATAGCTGCTGAATTCTCATCATGAGCTACAGCTCATTTTCATCTTCAGGGATGTATCTTATACAACCCCTTTTACTTTTCCTATGTATTAGAGACAGAAAAGGAGACAAAACTTAACCTAATGAATTGTTATGACATGACAGTGCATGAGCAGGTAAGAGAGAAATTTCTTCCTTATGGTAACTTTTGCTGTACACACTATTTCTGTGAAAAAACTAGCTGCTCCTTTTTGTGAACTTAACCAGATGGACAGTTAAAAATAAACTTTTCAGAAGAAGTCTAACCTAGCTTGTCTTCCAGTCTCCAGGAAGAAAGACAGAAAGAGCTATGAAAGGAGGACAGGAATGGAGCAGAAAAAAAAACAACAAAAAAACCCTGCAGTGTTAGAAGCAGAAGCAGAGACAGGTTGTAAAACAACTTTATCTCTTGGTTTCTTGGCTAATAGTTTTAAAATTATTTTAATTAATAGAACAAATATTAACCAGCAACACTGAAATTCTTATTCACAGAATATTAACAGGTGTTTTTTTACTCATTTCCTATGGCACTCACTTTATACTTGCCAATAAAAGGATGTCGGCCACCAGTAATTAACATATCATCCCCCCGGCTCAGAATAAGACGGACAGCTCTGTTAGTTCTAAATTAACAAAAGAAAAATGAGGTTTTCAGACAACATGAGAGATGCTATTAACAATATTAATGTGTTCTGTTCATTATGAATCCAGATGTAAGCATGCATTCAGATCAAAATTAACTTTAATAGGCTATGTACTTAAGGCCTAGTTCATATTATTTTACAATTACAATCATATCCGAATTTTCATTTTACATCTTGAAAGCCAATGACATAAGTCAGTACAAATTTCTGAAGAAAAAATTGTCATTTCAATTTTAAGACTGAACCAAAGTGACCTAATAGAAGTTCTACTGATGAAGTCTTCCACTAGTATAGCAAGATCCAGAAGTTCACTTCTGGATGGTTGTCATGGTTTGAATGCATATACAAAGCTTCAGCATTTAGGGACCAGTCCTTTTAAAATTGTCAGTCATTTCAAGAATATTTATAACTTATACTACCTGCAGTTTCCTCAAGTCCATTCATCTTAACTGAGGCTAGAGCTGCTTACTGAAACTTAAGCAGTCTAACAAAACAAAGCAAACAAATATATTGAACAGTCTCACAAAATATAAACAGTCAGGATTTTATGATTCTTTAGCTAGCAACTTTGGAGAAGGAGAAAGCATTTTAGACAAGATGTAAATCTTCTTCACACAATTTTCTCTTCATATCCCAACACACACACATCACACCTACTTGTTTGCTGCCACTGCAGCAACTGACGCCAGTAAACCAGCTTTCAGGATTTTCCCACCAAAAGCTCCACCAACTCGTTTAACATGGCACATGATCCTGTTGGCTGGAACACCTAAACTTGCAGCTACCATCTCCTGTAAAAACAGTTTTCAGCTTTTACATCAGTTATCAGGACCCACTTTCAGCTCCAACTGAGCCTACAGGTTAGCTCTAAAAATATTTTTTTCTAGAAAAGGGTTACATAGATGTTTTTTTTTGTTTTGTTTTGTTTTAATAAATCAGCTTATAAGATTTTTCCTTTATCCCAAGTTAAAAAAACAAGCAAAGAGAACAAGAAACACTCAACAGTGTTTGCCTTCAAAATGTCTGCCATGGATACTGTCAAGGGGTCAGGGACAGAAGTGAAGAATATACCCTTGAAATTAATTATGTAAAATGTGAGAAGCTTCATATACCAAAAAAAATATATTAGTTTAATTATTTGTATTAATAAAAGCATAAATCTGAGGATAATTTTAATAAATATATATATATTTAAATAAACTAATATCTTAGTGTCTGGAATGTTCTTGCTTCAAATCTATAATATTCTTCATTTACTCAGACAGAAAGTTCTTCGTGCTTCTTGGCTATTAGCAGCATATGGTAATGGAAACAAAAAAAGTGCTTTGAACACAAAATACCACTGTTTGCTCTGAAATACAACCAATTTCATTCACCATAGCTACTGCTATGCAGACCATACATTATGTCAGAGTTTGCTTTATCTTTTTGGCATAGAACAGCAGTCTTTCCTACAACTGTTTGAGTTACTTTACTCCCTCAGCAGACTGACTCTGCAGGGTGCTGACTGCTCCTGACCTCAATAGAAGCTAATGGAAATGAAGGATCCTCAGCACTCCACAGGGAGTTTCTCACACGTACATTAGTGGGGCATGATATACTTTGTTTAAGGTAGAATGAGAGACTTTTACTTCTTCATCCTCACAGCAGAGTGGTCAGTGTACATCATTATACTGCAGTACTACAAAGCAGCTTCTGTTGCATAATCCAGATGTGCAACTTTCTGTTCCCACTGTCTCTAAATTGGTAAGACTGATTTGTAAACCACACTCAGAGCTCAACTGTCACAGGTTCAACCACTTTCTCTGAGAATGTTTTACCTGGATAAATGCTGGATGCTGTGTTGACACAAACAGATCCATTTCTTTATCCTCTCCTCTTGGAATAGCAAGGACACTCTGAGTCTCCATGTAAAAGTGTTCCTGTCCCCCAATGTGAACCTCCCCTGATCCAATGAGAAAAACACAAGTGTTACCAGAAAAAAAAACACCTGTCCATCATCACATAAATTATGGTATTCAGTGTCAAATCTACTGATGCATCTTGTGTGAGGGAACAGCATTTAAAATAAAAACACAAATCAGACTCTTTGCAGGTTTAAATGATATTGTTCCATTGACATCAACAGAACTTGAATGTTTATATATAAATACGTAAATAGCAGAGTAATGTTGACTACAAATGTTGACAATATTAAATTTAAAAAAGCATCAATGTAGTGGACCAGGTCAAGACAACGATGGGGAAGCTGGAGCACATGATGTACAAGAGGCTGAGAGAACTGAATTTACTCAGCCATAAGAAAAGGATTAAGGGGAAATTTTACTGCTGTCTACAACTACTTAATGGGAGGGTGTAGAGAAAACAGAACCAGATTGTTCTCAGAGGTGCACAGTGGAAGGATGAGAAATGATGAACACAAGAAATTGCAACTCACTATAAGAAAACGTCACCACAAAGGTAGTCAAACACTGGAACAGGTATTTGTAGAGACTGTGGAATATCCACCCCTGGAGATTTTCAGAACTTGATGATATGGCACCGAGTACCTTGCTCTAACAGGAACTGCTTTGAGATTGGACTAGACTACCCCCTTCCAACCTAAATTATTCCATTATTCTGTCTCAAGGACAAAGGATAAAGAAAACTTGAATGTAGCAGTAGAACCTCAAAATTACTAGGTTTAGTCACACTTTTATTCCTGACAACCAAGAGCTTTTTCAGGCCTTATTGCTGTATATGATATCACTGAAAAAATTAGACCGGCACTTGAAGGACTGGGAAGCCCCAATACTGTCAACTTCTCATCATACATGCTGCAATTTACCTTCAAGTATACCATCAACAGTTTCAAATGCTTGATCAACATTTCCTTCTTCTAATTTTCTTTTTGGCTCAAAGAACGAGTTGTGCTTTATAGCTTCCTGCAGTGGAGAAAAAGAGAAACATTTTTTTAGTGTATTTTGAAGGTTCTCAGTTCATTATAGCATTTTACGCTCAGTAAAAATATAATTCTCTTCAGAGATCTGAGTCACCAGCTACCAAAGCTAGCGAACAACTGCATTTCATTGTTTTACTGTTTTTTGTGGGGGATGAGTTTGTCTATTCAGTCACAGGAATTCTTTCCTGATGTGTCCTGTTACTGATCATAGCACTTTCTGAAGGAGCTGCATTTAGTTCATTCAATCTACTCTTCCCTTTCACACATCTAGCAAGTGACCTGGAGAGCCCAGAGTAAGAATGCAATCACATCATCCAAAGAGTAATACCATTAAGAGGAAAAGAAATCCCCAAAACTAAGTAGAAAAGTAGAATTTATTACATTTGATTTGCTTTATTTTTAATAAGATTTCCTTAAGAGTTTTTACTGTAATTGAATTTTAGTAGTTTTCCAGTCTTTAAAAAGAGACTACTTCTATTTTTATACCAGAATGACTGTTCTGTTGAACCCCACACACATTATGTAAAGAAGTCAAAGCGACTACCAGAGCTAATGCTGGTTCCCCATTAATATTTCCTTTGTTCCTTATTTCCATCCATCTCATTTAATCCAACATAAATTTAATTCCCCCCTATAACTCCCACATCACATTTCTAAGATGTTCCACATCCTTAACATCTTTTCCCACACATTCCTCCAAAATTTCCTACAACTCACCTTAGCTTTGTTGGCTTGCTAACTGATCAACAGACAGAAAATGCTACAAATAATTAGGCTGGTTGCTCAGCCCATATATACATGCTGGTTGACCAGCTGGTAGCTACAAAAAGAATTAGAAACAACCAGGGTGCTTGCTCATTGCCTTCTTCTTACTGAGGACATGAAAAGTGTTCTTGTCTACCCTTTTGTTTGTTCATTATGAAATCTGTGGGACCTTAATACTTTGAGGCTACTGGCTATCTATCACAAGTGGCCAAAATTAGACAAATGGTTCAAAAGTTATCTATAGAGATACTGACAGACTACTTAATTGGATGTTCATGTTCACTTTGTTTGCTTAGAAAAACATTTGAAAAAGCAAGTGAGGAATGCTTCCATTACTTAAATAGATAAAACAATAAAAAAGCAAGAGAAAAGAGAAGTGATTAGTACCTCAATTGTCAAGATCACTGGTTCCAGCACTTCATACTTTATCTTCACTTTTGCAGCAGCTTGTTTGGCATGAACATCTGAATCCGCAACCACAGCACAAACAATCTGACCCACACAAATTACCTATAAAATACACATCACACATACAAAAGATAAAGAAATTTAAGAGTCAGCAGGTAAAATTCCATTACAAAGACCTGAAGTAAAACAACAGAAATTAAGAAAATAAATTAAAAAAAAGATTGCTTTCTAACCTTGTTTCTTGCAAATATAATCTCTGGATCACTGGAGTAGTGAAACTCGTTTGTAGCAGGTACATCATCAGCTGTTATGATATCAAACACACCCGGTCCCTTAAGGGCCTCTGAGGTATCTACAGATCTGATTGGGATGTGGAAAGATAGAAGTATAATTCATTAGTTTTACTAAACTGTTGCACATAAGCAGGGAACACAATACAGAAGTATGTTTCTTGTATTGCCAGAATCTGAACATAGGTTCAGACATGTCTTTTCCTTCTACCCGTTGCATGGGAAGAAACGCATGTCAAAGGGAATTAAAGACTTGTGGGTAGTTAGGGTCTGGTGGCCAGAAGATGTCGCGCTGTACGGAAAGGTGGAGCCCCTCCCTTGATGGACAGCAGCGTGTGGTCTTTGATGTAAGCAAGCAGAAGTGACATTATGGGCCTCAGCTATATAACCCCATGGGACTCGACAATAAACGCCATTTGCCATCCACCACATTGGTGTCTGTGAGCCGATGGACCGAGCGGCCTGGGGTTGGTCGCCGTGCTGTTCCTGAACCAGGTCGCCGCTGCCCCCTGAAGGCAACAAAGACTCTAGCAATTTGTTCCATTTCTAGAAAATACTCTAAACATAGCAGGGAAATCATTGACCCATTAGACTGCCTGAACTGCATCAGTTTAATAAAAGTCATTGTATAGAGTTGACAAAATACTACTGTCTCACAGAGATGAAAGGGGGATGTCAGCTCCTAGATGGTACAAAAAGAACATATCTAAACCCAACATACTATTACCTACTTAAGAATAGGCCAGGAGATATGACAGGGGCTCTAGCTAGCAATGCCAGTCCTCTGTCATCATGAGTAATCCCAACCACAGCACCTGGGTACACATCTTGGTGCCTGAATGCTGGGTAGACAATGCAGATATGTGCATTCTGGTACCTTAATGTTAAACAAACAGTGTGTGTATCAGTATGAAAGCATAACTGAAAACAATTTTCTTTCAAAATACGTTTGTCTTTCCATCTCCTTCAAGTACTTACCTGAGCCTTGCTACCTTGTTGCTGCAACATTGCAATGTTACTTCTTACATTTTGAACAATTATTTTTTTTGTAACAGAGTTGAGATTTTAAAGCTATGTTGTTGAAGCTGAGTTGAGGTGTCTATTCATACTGTATAGCTCAGCTCTATGTAGAGGTTCCTAGGTTAGCTCTAAGTAAGCTGGCTCATTTACCAAAAATAGCTCAACAACATTAGGACAATAACATGGAAAAATACATAAATCCAATCAGAGCCTTCTACTGAAATAACGGTATTGCTTCCAGGACCTGAGCCAGTGTGGGAATCTTATGTTCTGTTTTGCATATACATAGTTGAACTCCATTAGTCTGCTCTAAAAATCCCAGACACTATTTCGTTAGTAACTTTCTTCAGATACGCTTTGAACACTTACATAATCTTAGCATGAGCTCTGGAACTAGTGACTACAGCCAGGAAGAGCTCCCCATCCACAGAAGGAAGGTCATCAATGTAAACTGCTTCACCAGTTGCATGCTTAATTCCAGACTGGTGCATTATAGGCCGTCCCACAGGATCCTGGGGAGACTGACTCTGATCTACATCCTGTGCCATCAAAAACAACACTCCAAACAGTTAAAAAAAATATAAAATTGACATACTATTCTTATATTAATTAAAAAATCAGATGAAGGAAAGCTATTCATATTATCCTATTCTGGTTCAGTATTGAAAACAGGTGAAAGACTCAACTGATGCTCCTGAGCTTTTTTTTTTTTTTTTAAATTGCTTCTCCAAGCAATTCCAAGAGCATTACACAGGTTTGTCTACTTGTATTTTTTCCTTAATCATTTACAACAAAGTGACATAAACGTCAGTCCTTTTTTTTTTTTTTTTAAATTATTGATTGGTGTCATGAGGCTCTGAAAATTTCCTGAATTACTCTCACAAGTTTCTGTTCTGTGTTTTACCAGCATGTGGTGTTGCAGTTTGAGCTATTTGCAATAGTTCATAGAATTTGTCTTCCTCATTGAAAGGCTGCAATTAATCAATGTAAATCAGTGAGACAATTACTTATTTCCTTGCAAGCATTTCCTTGCACTTGCATTTCCTTGCACTTATTTACTTGCAATTACTTATTTCCTTGCAACTGTGTATGAATTTCATGCTTTATTAACCTTATTTTGCTAGGTCTTTCCTTAAAGTTAATTTACTGTTGCCAGACAATTCTGCCATGCCAACTAATTGTTGTCCACTCCCAAAACATTTTTTCAGTTTCTGTCAGTGATCTTGCTAGCTTTTTCGTTTTTCTGCATTTAGAACTAGTGATTTACTCTGATCTCAAAATCTATTTTCTCCCATGGGTTCCAGCACTCAAACGTTCCTGCTACACATTCAATACCTCCTGCACTTTCTGACATGTTCTCTGCTATTAGTCCAAAGCCAAGAAGAGACATTTTTCACTTGATGACTAAGGTTCCTCAAATGGCTGTCTCAGCAAAATCATCTCAACTTTATCCCATACTTATCTTTCAGGATATGTTTTTTTTTCCCCCATCTTCTTTTTCCCTCTAATTTTAAAAGTGTAATAAGGTTCAGATGAAGAAGTCCAGGCAGAAGACAAACACTTACACAAATTAGGTAAAAATTTAAAGTGACAAAACAGATTTCCTGGGTTTCGAAATCTTTTATTATTGCTCAGTGCCAGCCAATCTGAATAATAAAAAATATATCTATTTCTATTATGTCACTTTCTTGTAGCTCGGGTATAAATTGTTGAAAGCCACAGAAAACTAGTTCCCTTAGTCCTGGTCCCATTGGTAAGTTTACACTGCCTTTTCTTTGAAGCTGGAGATAATAACTTGAGCAAATTTAAGTATTTAAAACTAACAAGTTATTCTAAAGAATATCTAAAATCAAAACAAAAATGTTTCCGTACATTTCGTTTGAATTTTCTTTAGGTTTCTAAAAACTTGAAATGTTTACTCGCATCTTCATTAATGGTGTTAAAAGATCAAAACCCCTTGTAGGATTTTCCAGATCTAGTCACAAGGGCTGTGAAAAAAAACGTCAGAAAATCCAAGAGTTGTTCTTTGCTACCCTCTACTGCTGACTTCTCCTTGAAGGCTCCTGTTCAAGCAGATAGCCACCGTAAACTTCATCTTCTTTCCTAAATCTACAGTAAGAGCTCAGAGCCCTCTGAGAGCCTAAGAAAAGTATATTTCGAGAAAAGAATACTAACATATTCTTGGGATTTTCAGTCTCTGATCTTGGTCCAAGATTTTTCCAATCGGATTGAACACTGCCATATACCAAGTTTAAGCATGCTGACAATGGAATTTGTTTTGCATATTTACCTTCTGTGAACTGTGTAGAAGTCAGAATATCCATGTGAATCTATTTTTACTGACAAGGTTTTTCCAATTTTGATACATTTATAAACAAGGACTCAGAGCCTGTTGTCCTCAGTCCTTTGGAAAATTTACACCTGAGCTTCACTCTGTGGATCATGCTTGATGTATTTTTATTATTATTTACTAAGTCTTACACACCACAGTACAATCTTAAAATAAAATCACTTGCCTGATATATTTGGATACTCTGGGGCATTTTGGTTTGGAAGTCTTGTAGGACACTCTCATATTCCATAGGTATGCCAGGATAGTGGCAAGAGTCCTGAAAAGGAAGTGAATTATTATTAAAACTCACATTTTGAATGTTACAACTAAAAAAAGCTAAGAACCAAAATCACTAAATACATGCTCTTTATACTCTTTATACAGAAAATTCCTTCAAGACTCTCACAAGTTAGGCTCTAAAATGACAATTTGAAAAGACTGTAGAGTTTTAAGATTTCACTAAATGATATTTAAAAATACATTAAATTTGACAAATGCGTGTGTTTCAAGGAAGCAAAATAAAGCAGGGATAGTCAGAAGACCTTCCTTCTTGAGCCTGACCAAAATTGGCATAGAATCATTCCTAGTAAATTACCTAGAAATGGTAATTCAGATGAAAGTGCTTATGGTAATACAGAAAAGAAAGGCAACAGGTATGGTTTCCCTCAGAAGAACAGATGAAAACAAAAGTAAACAAATCACAGCTAGAATTTATTGGGCCAATCAGATTTTAGACTTCTCCTTTCCCAGTCAACAATTTAAACAAGGAAGAGGGTTTGTTTAACACATACAGTTACTTTTCAAAGTGTTTATATGTATTTTATTTGCTTTTTGAACTACAGAAAGATGGGGTAATATACTGACACATCGGTATTGATACACTGTTGCATTAATATTGCTCAAATTTTTACTATTAATATTATTTATTGTTATTATTAACAGCCTAATGTACATGCTACCTTGGACACATAATATATTTGGGCACATAAAAGTTAAGCAGACACCTCTCCATCAGTCTCTTTGGGACTTACGTGCTGTAGATCTGAACCCAAGAAGGACAATATTTAGCAGAATGTACATACTCAAACATTAACAGATAGCAAAACAAAACAAAACAAAACCTTCATTTGCTTGCAAAAAAGCAAACATGAAAAATCAATTTACCATTGTTTTCAATGACTGCAATACTTCCAGAAAAAATCTGTAGAAGAAACTGACTATCAAACTATTTTTATATTCTACTTTCCCACCACAGGCTGAGCCTGGAAGAGCTATTTCTTTAAGGATTAATCTGGAAGCTTCATCCAGCATCTGTTCATTCCAGTGTCTGTCAAAAAGAATAACACAGACACCATCAGACAAGGGCTCAAGATAATTATTTATATATATATCTATATCTATCTATCTATCTATATATATCAATATTTATCAATGCACACACTTAAACTGTAGTAATACCCTTGTACCCTCCTGCTTACAATGAAGCTATTGATTTTAATGATGGCTTGAAATTTCAAAAACTGTGTAGATCAATGTTGCTCACAGAAGTGAGGTCTCTTAAGTCAGAAGAATTAAGTCTTATGCCAGTCTTTTCTTAAAAACGAACAATAACAACAAAAAAAATATTAAATTTTTAAAGCTGATTTAACACTATTATGGATTACCATTGTTCCACAGATACTGCCCTATATTTAAAGAAAGGTGAACAACAATACTGGTGCAAACTGGAGATGCTTTTAAGTGATCTGATTAATGTTCAATTGCTGTTCTACATTTTCTGAAAAGGCCTTCCTTGAAGTATCTCAAACACAGTTAATTCTCCATAATTACACAACCCTAGATATCAGAATATAAATCTGTTAGAATAAATTTAAGCACATAAAGCAGAAAAAAAATAATAGTGAAATGGTTGTGTATTAATTGGTTAAAAAAAGTCTGGAAGGGACCCATTTAGATAAATGGAGCTTGAATTATTTGTAGATTTTGTGCCCTAAACCTTGGAACCTTGGAAAGATGCTGCAAAGGGGAGAAAAATGTCAGCGATGAACGTCAGAAGTTATGATCTTGTAGATCAAGAGATATTGAAAATGTTAAGGTCTGACTTGTGTTCCTAAGTTTCTTAAGCACATCTGAAATTTCCATTCCTTGTATCTATCAGAGCCAAACTGAAGGACTTGGGAACACTGATGCTAAGGGATCATCAAACCTATGGGACCCAGCATCATCTCCCAATGCTTTTGTACAAGTCCACAACTATGTATACCTCATCTGCTTATTTCACAGCTCAAATCTCACATCTCTCTACATCCTTCTCACTGGAATTGCACCCATGTGCAGACTCCAAAACATAATGGTCCTAAAAAGTCATTATTTGGGCTTGACCAGACCATTTGCTTGACCATGTGTGGCATAAGCCAGGTAACTCAAATCTCCCATGTGCTTTCATGCTCCAAGGAAATACACCTAAGATCTCAACATCCCTTTATTCTGAAATGTAGAAAACACTGAGAAATCTTACCTTCCAATAAGTGTCCAACAGGTTTGTTTTGCATGGACAGTGGTTGAGGCAGCACCTCCATAGAAAATGCTTAAATCCTTTATTTTGTCTGTACCTTCTTCAAAAAGGACTCTCATTCCAGCATTGGCTATTGGAAGAGCATTTTCTCTCCTTGGTGCTTGTCGAAATGCAGAGATATACTCTCCCTGAATAAGATCAGACAGAAGTGGATAACCTGCACGCATGTAAGTATCTGAAAGCAGAACTTGCTTTTACATTACATGAAGCAAGAGAATCAAAATGAACAGCACAAATTCAACTTCCTGAGCATTCAAGACCATACACTTCCTTCTATTGATATTTCAGTAGCTTTACCTTTCTTTGATGTTCTAGCAGTCTCTTTTTGATCTTCCATTACCTACACAGTTCAGATGACTAAATTTTCTCATGGCAGATACACAGAAGATAGGGATCTTGTGGAGGGGAGGAGAAGAATAGTGGGGCTGCATTTATAACAAGACCAAAAGCTTAGAGGCTTCAAAGTATTGCCTGACTTCAGTACTCAGATAACGTCACCCATAATTATTTTATAAAATCACATACTCATCATTGCAAACAACACCAGTTGAAGACTATTATGCAGTTCAGCAACATTTACAGAAGCACAAAGCACATGTATAATCTTATCTAATCTTAGGAAAAATCCTCAAAAGGTGGTAATGTTTTACCTGCCTGATGCCAACCATACCACATGTGGGCAGCCTGTTTGGATGAGGACTATGACAACTTGTCCAAGAACCCTTTCTGTAGTGAACTGCTAATTGTTATTGCCCTCATCATTTCAGAGTAAACTTTTGTATGAATATCACACTACATATCACTATTTACCTACTGAGATGTATTTTTTGGCTGAAACTGGGATATGGTATGACAGTATCAGGAACAAATGTAAGGAATCCAGAAAGTGAGCAGTAACTGTGTTACTTTAAACATATGGATTATGCCCCCTTCCTGCTCTTCATTTAAGAGTCTGCAACTAATGTACTAACAAACCTAAATGTACTAGTAACTTACCTTCCTCGAATGGGGAATATGAACAGAGACTAAGATCTCTTCTGGCATAATGGTATTGTTACCAACTCCATCTGCAAAAATATCACTCAAGGGAATCCGCCTCTTTCTTCCTAAAAAAAAAAATCCCACATCCAGAAACTTCTGTACAATAGTGCAACTAACATACATTGAACATTTTTTAATTGGCAAAAAACACACGCATATTTCATGAGTAAATAATTTTGGAGTTTATAAAACATCTTACGAGTCATATGCTCTATAAATATATGATTGCTCTACCTTTCAAAGTATCATAACACCATATTCCTAATAAAAGGCACAGAGAACTATCCCCATTCTGTAATCTTCCCTTCTGATGCTATCGCAACAACAATCCCTTCCCCTGCTCCTGTCAATCTATTCCAAATCTCTGCACCTGTTGTCATCACTACATTTTCTACTAAAGTATAAGGAGTGAGTAAGAATACTGAATGAGAGAGATGTGCTGCAAAAATGCAGAACTATTTTTGTGTGTGTGTGTCTTGAGACTAAGCAGTTCCAGGTGTCCAGAGGGAATAAATGCCTTTTCCTTTCTCTTTTTGTAGATTATTCTAAAAGTGGCTATGTTTATCATTCTATGATATGTAAGATTAAAAGGTGGAATTTTCAAAAGGGAAGAGAACAAAATTACATCAGGAAGCAAAATTTATAAGAGCTCTTTGAACACTTAAACATCTATGCTACATAAGTTATGCCAATACCACTACACAGTTAAGCTAGCAAGCCTTCCTAGTGGAAATCCAATATATATTTTAACACATAAAATTGATTATATTAATTAAACAAGCTCCATTGGCTCAAGAAGTTTTGTCAGTAAAACTGCAACTATACCAGCAAAGCAACTGTCAAGTAGAATTATGATCCTGCAAAATCACAAAGGTATAAAATACACATTGTGCAGATGGAAATCCACACTGATCCACCATGTGCATTTATCAGATGAAATCAAGGTATGTGTATTTATGTATATATACGTTTACTAATCTTCCACGTCCTTTGTATTTTGCACATGCTACCTATGGTGTCCATTGTATTTTTAAGTATTTGTAATTACTAGACAATACATGTCTTATAGTAGCCCTGATCTATCCCAAAACTTTGTACAAACAGATAATAATCTGTGCCATCTTTAAGAAGTTCATAGACTAAAATATTCCTCTCACATTCAGTGAGCCTGATACTGTAAGACTGTTTGCTTTAGAGCAAGATTACTTTCTTAATGTTTTCATGTTATATGTGATGATGACACTGTATTCTATTCATCCTAGAATACCACTTAGCATTAAAATTACATTCCTAAAAAACATAACCAGTGTAACAGCAAAACTTTAGTACAGGAATTTTATTTTGCTGAAGTGCAAATCTGAAAAGTAACACTTAAAAATAGCAGCACTGGCATTTCTGGTGTTTTGCCTTTGCAATTGCACCCAGATTAAACTTGGTTTATATACATTGCCCAATCCCACCTGTGAGCCTACCGGAATCTGGGAAAATGCTTTTTCCTTTACACTATGATTTAAGAGAAATACTAAGAAAAAACAGCATCTCTGTAACCTCCTTTTCTTAAACAATCCACATTTCCTATGCTTCACTGACTATTTTTTGCTAAGGAAACATGTTAAAAACCTATGAAAATGCCTGAAATCCTCTCCCAGCAGTAAAATTCTTCCATGCTAACAGAAAGAGGTATCAGCCAGTGATTCTATTTATCATTCAAATAAATAGGCATGTCACTGGAATTGTTGGGTGAGGAGATGCAAATGTGTATACACTGACTTTTCAGAATGACGTTCTGACAGGTATTTCTGTACTTCAATGGCAAACTATGCAGGAAGAAACAATGGAAATCATAAATAATATTTTTTTGTGTATCTATTTCATGAAATCCTGGCTCAGAAGCAAATGCATAAATAACACGTATTTCATGGTGCTAAGCAAAATATTACATGGTCTGAAATGGTAACATATACTCTCTGGATCGAGGGCAAAAATAGGTCTTAGAATCATAAAATCAAAAAAAGGACATAAGACATCTGGAAAGGAGAACAGCATACAGTTTCAAGCCACCAGACAGCTGAGTCTACCAATATTTCATCACCCTTCAAATTGGTAAAGTAGTACACAAGGAATGGAGCTATTTGAGGGGAGTATAGAGTGATGGAATGAAAATGAGGCAATAGGCATGGAAAAAAGTGCTGGACTAGTGGTTCCTGTATTTACTGGAAGTACATGTGAGGAAAAAGAAACTACAGTTCCTGTCAGGGCCAGAGGGTAATTTAAAAACCAGGAACAAGTATCAGTTAAAGAGAAAACTACCTACCAGAAGGATGGGGAAGTTGTATACAGATAACTCAGATTACCAGGTTTTATGAATGCTTTTCGCAATTCACTGCCCACAGAAGTACATACAATCTGGATGGTCTGAATGCTTACTTTGACATGAGAATCTTTGACATATTCTTACTTTGACATGATCTTCTATGTGAGTGGGAAAAGGGTTCCTTAACAAGCACTCACCAGACACCCCTGCACCTCATACAGTAGCATCCTGTATCTCTGACACTAGTACAGAGACAAGATATCTCCGCTTACCTCTTGAAGCCAGATTAAGCATACAGTTGCTAGCTGCCAGAATAGGATTCAAGTCTGAGGTTGATTTTCGACTTACAACGTTTCCACCTAAAGACTTGGGGAAAAAAAAAATCTTACCTCTCTTCATTGCTTTCATATTTTCATGTTCTGTCATTATAAATAAGATTATACACACATTTATGCATATTTAAAGCTCAAAAAAGATGCACTCATAGAAAATTAACAACTAAAGACAATTAAAAAGGCAAGTTGTACTTGTGTTCAGAAGCAATTAACAAAGCTTTGTTCAACATACAATTGGCAGTTTAAGTAACAGACGACATACAGCAACGTTTCTTATCTGTTCTCCACCCAGTGTTCTTAATTGCTTCAAGACAGCATAGAAAATCTTTGTCTTCTCCTCAGGTAACTTTGAGATTGCATTTCTCAAGATGTCTTTAACTAGAGACAGGCTGCAGGCAGCTCCTAGAGTTAATCCTGTTACCAAAATATTATGAAAGCGTAATGTGAGCATTGCTTCATTGTCTGAGTTTTAAACTATGTTCAGACTGTAGAGCTAGGACTATTCATGTGCAATACAGGTAGGCATAAAGTGAAGGGACTTTGCATATTTAAGGAACTGTCACCTTTCAATTCAGGACACCGAGGGTAAAGTTTCATGAAATTATGAAGTTGAGCTAATGGCTCAACATGTGTACAAAAAGGGAACTCTGTTCTCTGCTTCCAGCTGCTTTACTTGCATCAAGTTTGTCGAAATGTTTGTGTGAAGTTTCACCCGAAGTTGAGGCAGCTTCAATGGGCTCTTCCTATTTTAACCACTATTTACATTCTAGTTATTCTTCTAATGTAGCATTTGCAACAAGGTAAGTAATGCTAACACTGAATATGGTATTTTTCCCCCATTAGAAAGATCAGTGATAAAGTTTTATATTAAGACTATACTTTAAAAATTTTCAATACTATAAAATGGTAAAAAGTGCCTCAATTCAAAATTATTAATGGGTTTCATTTATGTAATGTGTGAATTTTTTGAATGGAAACTGGAATTCAATTAAAAATATAACTCAAAATATAAATATTTTCCACTGGATTTTATTAAGTAAAACTATATTAAAATTTATGTACTTAAAGAAAAAATTAATCAAAACATGCTCTGCATTGAAATCTAATTAAAGAGAGGAAATACTCTTCTTGGTTGGCAAACTAAACCGAATCTCTCTCATGTTAGAATGAGTAAGCCTTACACTCCAATGACTAGATATTATTTATAGAATAAAAGAAACAGTAAACATTCTCCATGCTTCTTGTAAATTACCAACCACTTTTCAGCTAAGAATGAATTAATTGGCAGCTGGAACTGGCTGATTGCAGCAAACTGAAAAAGATGTTCTAGATGCAATGACAGTAACATTAAATACAGTTTCCCGCTTCAAAAATGTGGCTTCAGGCATGTAGTAAGTATCCTTCATCAGATACAGGCCCTGATTTTCCTTAAAACTTATGCAATAAATATGCACGATGTAATTTATATTTAATTAATTTATGCTATTATAGGAAGTTTAAATGTATTTTTAGTTGCTATTTGAAAATTAAATAGAACTAATTTTAAAGCTAAAACCTAGTTTACCTTCAATATTAAAAATATCACTGTACTGATCTCAAACACAAATTGAGGTACAAGGGTACTAATTTGGAATAATTAATGCTGTTATTTTTGAGAGCAAGATTATTTAGTGCGAATTAGCTATCATAGTTGAATCACAGACTTTTTTTTAACGTAGACAATTGTACAAAGTTGTTAACACACTGTGGTTCTCTATGCTATGCAACATAACATGGTATAAAACTGTGCCATGTGCTGGGACAGTGGCTACAGACAGCCACCTTGATTCAGGAAATAGCCAAGCATGCTTAGGCATGACTGGAGAGCCAAGATCATTGTACAGCACTTCACACTTTCAGCATGATGGAATGGAGTAGCATCCCCTACTGCAGAGGAATCTCCCATGTCTGAAACAAAGAGAGGTCTACTGACCGTCATCCGTGTACTTCACCACATTCAGATCCGGGATTCTTGCTGGAGAAAAGACAATTGGATGGAACATGCCTCCAAATTTCATCTGAGGTCCTACCAAATGGGAAGGCACAGACATAAATGTATATTCCATAACTGCAGGTCCAACATAGAGGAGCCTAAGCTTACAGATGAAAACATAATGAATGACAAACATAGTCCCACTCCTCCCATGGAGGCTGAAACAATGTCAACAGAAGACATTCAGATCATACATACCCACAATGGTGTTCCCAACAACCAAAGGTGCTTTGGGGTGGGCAGCTTTCAGATCTAGTAATTCATCTAAATTTACAGGTGAAATCCATGTCATTCGTTCCCCATGAAAAACCAGAGTTCTTTTTGGTTGATTTTCAGCCATTCTCTGATGGAGAAATATAGCAGATTTACATATTTAGACACAGAGACAGGTGGCAGGGTCTAACAGACATGACATTAGACTGGAAGTAAAAAGAAGTTCTTAAAATATGGTAATTCTACTTAAGCCTTCAAAATGCACAGAATGGGGACTGTTAGGCTGGTCCTTTGCACACTGGTGATTTTTTCAAATTTTGACTGAGTCCAATGGACCAGATTGATGATAAATATAATAAATAGCCCACAAATAAACAAAAGTACAAATAGATTCTGCAATTGCTGAAATTAATTTAAAAAATAATTAAAAATACTTAGGGAGGTGTTTGCACCCTTTGTTTGGAGGTTACCAGTGATAACAGCAGCCACATTCCTTTATGTAAACAAATGGATTTTTTTGGACGTTCTAGCACTGTTTACTGATCAGTTGGAAAAACCTTGTGAACTGGTGTGGGTACAAATACATAGGCAGGAACACCTATCTCACAGTTCTCAACATTTCTCTGTAAGCAGACAGCTAGCTATAGTGAATTTGTCTTTGAATTTATACCTTGACAATACTGCAAAGGAAGCAGCTTTTAGTTTTTCTAGGGCATATACTGCTCTCAATAATCAAGGATTACTGACAATTTATATTCCAGTGTCCTTATTTTAGCTGCTCATATCTTTGCCCCACTTGAATCACTAGAGCTAAACACTCCCCAGACTGGATAGCCATTTAAGGCTGACTATTGATAGACAAGACCAGCAAAACTATTAAGCCACAAAATGGGGAAAATGTATTACTTTGGCAATGTTAGATAAAAAGTATTTGCCAGTTTGCTAGGAAGCATTTGTACATACATGTGCTGCACTGAACACTCCCTTTAGGTTATTTTGTCTTCTCACCTAATGCTTAATTCTGCAGCTTCCCAATATGATTTTTTTGTATGTGATTATTCAATGAGATCACTGGGGAAAAAAAAATAACTTTTTAAAATTAAACCAGAATCATATGACAATTTTTTTTCTGATGAATCACTGCTAAGCAGGATGTTAGAATGAGTCCTGAACTATGGACTACTAAGAAGAAAAAGACAGAACTAAAGAGTCTGTAAGTAGCAAAAATTACCATTAGTTCTGGAGGAAATATAAGCTCCTGAGTGGGATCTAAGGGCTGGAATTCATCTGGTGAAAATAATCTGGTGGAAATCTTAAAAAGAAAGGAAACAAGCAAAGACAGTATCTATTTTTTTCTCTCATTCTTATTTCTACACAAAACAAAACCAAAAAAACCTGTAATGGTCCCAGTGAAGCCAGTAGAAAATTGGCAATTCCATTACCTTTTGCATTTTGTGCTAAATTACAATGCTTCATTTGAAGCTGCAGGTGAAGGAAGTGGTCATAACAGTTTTTCAAAGTTTACTCATAACATAAATGTGTGTATTAGCAAGTACAGAGGCAAGTAACTGAAAGACTAACTACAGGCTTCCTGGTGTCCTACTGCAAGAAAGTAGCTGGTTTCATGCCAACCTACAGAACCCAAAAAGCAGAGAAGTAGATCAGATACTATTGAAAGAAAATAGAGAACGAAGTCAAACGTACATGAATAAAAGGTTTCTTATAACACTACAATCATGACTTATTTTTAGGAACGTAGCAGTTTATTGGATTCAAGCCAACGGTTAGATTCTGAAGAGATCAGTGGTTACAAAAAAAAAAAAAGATGATTGCTACATCATCTCCTTCTCATAAAAGAATACACATAGAAGCCTTGATTTTTAAAAATATTTCCAAATTTCTTGTGAGGAATAATAAAATATCTGATTTTATATATAACAACTGTAATATTATGGAAGGTGAGTAAGGTGGAAGGTATAAACAGATTATGCCTATATCTTGAATAGTTACAATAAATACACAATGCAAGACTCTTTTCTGTAGGTTCTTAAACCAACTAGTACAGTTAAAATACTTAAAATCCTACCTTCTCTTCCTTGTCAAACAAATCCTCTTCATGATCCAAGCAACACTTACCACTTGCTTTACTTTGACAACAAACAGATTCCTAAAATAGGAACATTCTATCAGTAAAATAGTGCCCAGGCTGGCAATAAGTTAAAGACTGCTTGAGCCATTAAGAGTCTCTCCTTACATTTCAATGAAGTTCTGGATAACATTTAATAATTAACTGCATCGGAAGGATTTGTGTGTAAAAGTGACAATATCCAAAAATATCTTAAAATCTTGTGCTATTCAAGTCCTTAATATAAAATATTTCATGTTATATGAAATTTGGTGGACCTTGTGAGAACACACATTCAACATTATTTCTTTTATCCACAGTTCAGTCTCCCATTTCTTTCATTGAAGGTCTCTGACATGTTATTTATGCCAGTATCGATCCATGATAAAACACATGTAGTTACTTTGGAGTACTCTTCATAATTCATGCTAGACACCAAGTTCCCATGTTCCTTTTTTTTTTTTTTTTTTTTTTTTAAATAAACAGGCTAGGCTACTAGACACCTTATTAATCGTTTTCTTATTCATATTTTCAACATATTCATCATTTCCTGGGTCTGCTCAGCATGGAGAAAAGAAGACTGAGAGGGGATCTCATCAATGTGTATAAATACCTGAGGTGTGGGACACAGAGGGATTTGGCCAACCTCTTTTCAGTGGTTTGCGGGGACAAGACAAGGAGTAATGGTCACAAAATAGAGCACAGGAAGTTCTGCACCAACATGGGAAAGAATTTCTTCATGGTGAGGGTGACAGAGCACTAGGACAGGCTACCCAGGAGGTTGTGGAGGAGTCTCCTTCTCTGGAGATAAATACTTAAGGCCAGTCTGGATGCCCACCTGGGCAGCCTGCTCCAAGGAACCTACTTTGGCAGTGAGGTTGGACTTGATGATCTTTCGAGGTCCCTTTCAACCCCTTCAATTCTGTGATTCTGTGATCAGCAGGGAGTAGTATGAGCACGAGATAGAAAGGTGGAGCAACTCCCTGCAAAGCCTGAAGGAATGGCACCAGGGTGAGACACCCCAAACAGTGGTGGACCCCCTGCCCTGCCGAGCAGAGGGAGAGGACCCAGGAGATGAGGAGGAATGGAGACAGGTCCCTGCTCAACGTCAGAGGCAACCCCCCTACCGGCTCAGCCTTCCCTGGTGCCCTTACACAACAGGTTTCAGACCCAAGACTGGAGCTTGAGATACTGGTGGGTGAGGATGAGTTTAACAGTCTACCCAGAAGGATGCTTAAGGCAAGATAGTCAACTCCACACCTCAGGACTGCCTCCACTAAGAAAGAAAGGTGATCGTTGTAGGCGACTGCCTTCTCAGGGGAACAGAGGTTCTTTTTAGTTCTCTTTAATGCCTTTATCAATGATCTGGATGAGGGGATCGAGTGCACCCTCAGTAAGTTTGCAGACGACACCAAGTTAGGTGCGTGTGTCGATCTGCTTGAGGGTAGGAAGGCTCTGCAGGAGGATCTGAATAGGCTGGACCCATGGACTGAGGTCAACTGCATGAAGTTCAACAAGGCCAAGTGCTGGGTCCTGCACCTGGGGCACAATAACCCCAAGCAGCGCTATAGGCTGGGATATGAGTGGTTAGAAAGCTGCCAGGCAGAGCGGGACCTGGGATTATTGGTGGATAGTCAGCTGAATATGAGCCAGCAGTGTGCTCAGGTGGCCAAGAAGGCCAACAGCATCCTGGCTTGCATAAGAAGCAGTGTGGCCAGCAGGGCTAGGGAAGTGATTGTCCGCCTGTACTCGGCTCTGGTGAGGCTGCACCTCGAGTACTGTGCTCAGTTTTGGGCCCCTCGCTACAAGAAGGACATGGAGGTACTCAAGCAAGTCCAGAGAAAGGCAACAAAGCTGGTGAGGGGTCTGGAGAACAAGGCTTACGAGGAGCTGCTGAGGGAGGTAGGATTGTTCAGCCTGGAGAAGAGGAAGCTCAGGGGAAACCTTATCGCTCTCTATAGGTACCTGAAAAGAGGCTGTAGTGAGGTAGGGATTAGTCTATTCTCCCATGTACCTGGTGACAGGATGAAGGGGAATGGGCTAAAGTTGCACCAGGGGAGGTTTAGGTTGGATATTAGCAAGAACTTGTTAGGCATTGGAATGGTCCACCCAGGGAAGTGGTTGAGTGGAGGACTGGTTAGGTCAGAGGTTGGACTCGGTGATCTTGGAGGTCTCTTAGAACCTATATGATTCTGTGATTCTGATCTGCATCTCTTAACAGAGGAAAAATACATGGTCTTATTAAAAATCTTCATGGCCTGTATATAAGAACCATAAAACAGTTTGGGTTGGAAGGGACCTTAAAGATCATCTAACTCCAACCCCCCTGCCATGGACAGGGACACCTTTCACTAGATCAGGCTTCCCGAAGTCCCGTTCAACCTGGCCTTAAGCACTTCCAGGGATGGGGCATTCACAGCTTCTCTGGGCATCCTGTCTAAATTTCTAATCTAAATACTATATTTCATAATAATTCATGCTCCTCACACTCCATAGGAACCTATCAACTAAAACATTAGTTCATAAACGTACCGAGAGGCATAATCTATCTGTACTTTAAAAGAGTACTAATAATACCAACAAAGTTATGACAAAACTTCTATAATCACTACTCCTCACCTTACAAAAAGTTTTACAGGCATCTAGGATTGGCCTATATCCAGTACAACGGCACAAGTTCCCTGAAAAAAAAAAAAAAAAGAAAAAAAAAAGGAAATCACTTAAAAAAGCCTTTGTTCTAAAGATGTGGGTTTAAAATGCTTTTACATGAGGTTTGCATCTTTGAGGCTGAAAATAAAGTTTTTGGTCTCTGAAGAGATAAAAAGATCACTGTTTCACTAGACTTAAGACTCTGCAGCTCCCAAGAGAAAAAGGCTGTTGTTTCAAGGGGAATATGAGATACTTGAAAGCTGCACTCAAAGAACAGTGACTACATCTTAGCAAACAGGAAAGAAGAGATAAGTACCCACTCAAAATGTTTTTCCTTTCCCCTGATCTATTTTTAATAGTGAAGCTTAGCATTGTATCTCCATCTAGTTCATCTCATACTAACATGAAATGTCTGAGTCCATTATAACTCCACAGCATAACAAAAAATGTATTTTACCTGCAAAAAATGTTCACGTTTGCCCTTAGTGAAGATGGCATGCATACATCTCTACCTTATTTAACTGTTTTATTGCTACCACAAAGGGACCCTCTTCCTGTGAGATTTATGACATTCTCAACTCCAGATGTAATAGTATCTTAGAAACTTTCAGGGGCAGCTTCTTCTCCAGTGTACTGTCGTTTTTGCGCATCTGATTTAAAACATTTCAGACGATACATATGAGGATATTTTGAACACCTGTCCCTGAGCAACCCACAGCTCCATGATTCATGTTCCAGGATAAAAGAATGACAGGAAATAAAATGTCAGTGTCCAATAGCAACTCTGCTGGGAAGTGCAATCTAGAGTACACACATGCATGTGTACTCACACAGATTTGCACTCGTGTATGCAAAGTATCAGAAGAAAATGGTTCAATGACATACCTACAAATTAGAAGTGGCAATATTTACCAGCCAGAGCTGCAGTCATCTGCTCTGAAGTTGGTTCTGGGTAGTTTCTTAGTAATGTGTATATGGACATCACCATTCCAGGGGTACAGAAACCACACTGGGAGCCATGGCACTTGGCAAGCCTTTCCTGAAATAAAACACCACAAATGGAACTCCTCTCAATGTACTTCACCCTTTCTAATAAACTCTCTCACACATAGGAAACCCACACTAAATGCTTTCTTGATGGTAAATCAGACTTATAAAGGAAAACAATTTAAGCTCAAAATAAGAGTAATTATTAATACTCAAATAAGAGTAATTATTTTGGGCGTGAAACCCTAGCACACATCACCAAGGAAGCTAATTAACATTCAGTGGGCTTTTGCCTTTTTTGCTTCCATACTAAAACATCAGCTAAAGGGCATTGTCCAAGGTGTACCATTACCTCAAATGGAATGGTAAGCCTGATTCACTCCAACAATTCTTATGTACCAACTATGTGATCAGGGTGTCAGTATTACTGCAAGGTCCATCATGAGCTACACATCGTCAGTCTTGATCAACCAACCATCAGAAACTTGTGTTTTATTCTGTTATCCATTATCAGGGGGTATAAGTGACGTGAAATATCCATGCCCTGATTCCCATGCACTGCCACTCAAGCCAGCCCAATCAAAGGAAGAAATCAATAATCTTCTTACACAATGATAATGCGTTCTCACCTGAACTGGATGAACCCTGCTTTTTGTACTTCCAACACCTTCCACTGTGGTGACCGCCACACCATACAAGGAGCAAATAGGAAGCAAGCATGCATTTGCTGAGTAGTGACTTCGGAGCATTAAGGGGAATAAAGAACTTAAACACATCTGAATATTATTTTGTGGTAAAGTAAGACTTAGTTTTTACTTACAAAGCCATTACCATCATTTGGAATGACAGAAGAGTAAGCGCTATAGAAGAGATTACTTACTAGCTGGGTTTCTTGTCCCCAGTACTTACATGTACTGTACTTACAAGGACATAATATTGACGGTTTTGGAGAATTTACATCTTCCCTAATACTTCAGTCTTTTCTAACTGCCCTCTCATTTTTCCTGCTCACAATCAACCTTTCAAGTGTGTTTTGGGTGAAGAAAGTGGGGAAGGGAGAGTTGGTGTAGTCCTCTGAAAAAAGAAAAAAATTATTGCTGATAATTTGAAATCCAAGTTTCTGATCCAAAGGAAATTCTAATGTAAAAAAAATAAAAATCCTTCTAAAAAAAAAATAAAAATCCTTCCAAATAGGAACAATGTACCAAAACAAAATTCTGTAAAGCTTTTTGTCATTAACAATAAAATGCTTTGTTTTACTATAGTTGAAATGTTTCTTTTCGGTAGCATCATTATAGTTTTTCTAATTTAACACTTAAAATAACATTAAACATTTTATTTACATTGTACTCCAACATAACATAATTGTCTAAAGGAACAACTAGAACATTTTGATATCTTCCCCCACACACACACCTGAAAAGATGCTCCGTTGACAATGACAGTTAGTACTAAACAATTTGATTAAAGTTTTTTCAATTTCAATTTAATTTATTCCTGCTTTTAGTTTAACAAAACTGCTATTGAGTTTTGAAATCTCTTTTGGGCAAGGAGAGGGAGTTAAGTATTAGAGGGCTGGGCTGATCCAACTCACACTTCTGGCTGCCCTATTCTCCCATGACTTATATGACAGAACTGCAGGGAGAAGCTATGTCCCTGTGGTCAGCACAAAGGATGTTAAATTAGCACTTCCTAAAGAGAAAACTCCTCACAGCAGCTGTCAGGTTGTATTAGCAAATTAAGCATTTCAACAAATTTACAGCTGAATGAACAGTTGATTTTTTTTAAAACCGTGTCCTTCTTTGGATTAAAGTGGCTCTTCCTTTTGGATTCTTTTACTAATAAACACATACATTACAAATGTTTTTGTTTGTTTGTTTGTTTTTCAAGTTTCATACCTGGAAACTGCATTTACAGTCATAAAATTTTGCATAAAGCTTTACAAATTTTCTGTTAAGGATACCGTATCTTCTTTGAAGCTGGTTCATAAGTTGATATCATCACCGTACAGGCACCACAGCCACCTCCTCCACAGCCATACTTAGTTCCTGTAAGATGGACTGAAAGTGCTACCAGTAGGGAAAAAAAAAAGTTTCATTTTGGCCTTTATTCTTCTATAAAGCTTGAGGACCATCTTTTTTTTCCTGAACTTTTATGGAATATATAATTGGTTAGATACAATAGCATATATATTGGATTCTTTCTTATACATGATTAAAATTTTCAGTGACAATAAGATTGAAGATAAGGAAAAACAAATTCTTTTGAAGGAGTAAATTGAGTCAGAAACAGTACGTGAAAAAGTTTTACAAGTGAAAACATGAAAAGAAAAAACTTGTAACGGGCAAACTAGTTATATATCCAGCAGGACACTAAAACCAATATCCAAAGTTTTCCCAGAAGTGCCACTGGAAAAGTAACTGGAAAAAAACAAGACCTCTTGCACCAATTCTTATTCTCGCCAGCCCCTTCCAGGAGCTGATCAATGATTAGCTAATGAGTGACCGAGTCACTAATCCAGCTGATAGCTACCCTCTGTTTTTCCTGGGTCACTTTTCTGCTGGTCTAGCGAGTGGAATTAGTACACAGAGAGGTCTGAGGAATGTCACAGTTGGCATAAGTTGCAGGAAGAGAGCTTTCTGCCAGGAGCATGGAATGATGGAGGGGAAAACAAGCTGCCTTTGCTTTTAACAATGTGTTGTGAAAAGTTGTTCGTCAACGTGGGAGTTAGCACTCTTCACTTGAAATAATGCTCTGACACACATACATTGTTTTAAGGTCTCACCCAATTAAGCTCTACTACTTTTTCCACTGCAAAATGCTTTAGAGAGCCCTTTCACTAACATCCTAGCCTGTCAGATATAACCAGTACATTTTAAGATACAGTCTCTTTCCTTCTTACTCTTCTATTTATTTGCTAATTTACACTGGGCCTTACAGTTATTAACAGTATTCCAATATGCTGATTTCTATGGCATTTAGCCAAAATAAATAAATAAATAAATAAATAAAAGATGTCAGGATGCTTAGTGAAGTATTATATTGTATGTTGCAATTATAAAACACATTACTGGAAGACACTAAATTTCCTCATACTCAGTCATTTCGGATTATACAAATTTTGGCAGCCATCAGCATAAGTTATTTCTGACCTATATTTTTGCTCCCTGCCATTCATTTTTGGCTGTTTAAGAAATTAGCTGTCGTCCTAGTTAAATTAGCTCACTATGTGTGGAAGTTTGCTGTGAAAAGAATCAGTACCTCAAGTCTGGCTACCTGAGTGGTCTCAGGCACAGTCGTACAGGTACATCTTAGAGAATAACACACTATTATACAGACATAAGCATCAGAATACAAGAATAAGCCGAAATTTAAATTGTAGGGTAAAACCCTACTAGCTCCAGAAAACAAGTTAATCTTATCCTTATTTATAAGGAGACTACAAAAATACAGTAAGGTTAAATGATTTTTCAAGGTGCCAGAGCAAGTCAGTGCAGCATATGTATGGGACCTAGATAATCTCACTCACAAATGTGCTTTAACAAATGAAATACAACTCCTGTGATAGAACTGGTATGGAGCCATGTTTTATAGCTCAATGGAGCTTGAAGTTGTTACAAGTTAATGAACATTAATTTCCTAATTACCAGAACTACAGCGACCTATTCTTCACCAGACTCCTCCTTATGACTGATCAGTAATGAAGATGTTTCAACTTAAGTATTTCTTCTAAAAATTTAAAGTTTATAAAAACATTCTGTTGTGTGAATTCTCTAGCGTATGGTATATGTCATTTTGCTCTCTGGTAATATGTTTCAGGAGACAGCCTAGGAACCTGCCAAACAGGGAAGATTCTGCTCTCTCACATTTGGTCCATGCTCCTGGATGACAGTCCCTACACATAATGTGTTACTCAACAGTACAAAACAGCTTCATGAATACTGGGAATAAGCCTGTGGCACAGCAGGTTCTGGAAAACTGTTAACAGTTGAAATCAGACATATAAACAAGCCTCAGAAAAGGCAAATAAAAATAGAGGAAAAGATCAGAGCAACTGCTGCAGAATTTGTAGCAACAGAGAAAGCCACTGAGATGCGGACAGACCAAGACAGGAGAGAAATTTGGGAAAAAAAAATAATGGCAGGCAGGGTGTAAGCTCTAGCTCTTTCAACTTCTGCTTTATATATTTTCTTTCCTCCCATTTTAAAAATTCATACTTGTTCATATTTACTTGCTGTTAAGACCTGTTTTTTGTTTGTTTTTAAGGTTTAGAAATCTGTTTGGAATGCTTCTCATAAGAAGTTAACAGATTACTTCAAAATTCCAACAGACTTAGGCTCTCATCACAAGGTCTTTCCTCTTTCCACAAAGAGACTTTTACACAATTTGGAGACGCCTACTCTGTCAAGTTTTATTCACACTAGCCAAAAGGTTCTTAGAATCAAACAGATAAATACACACATGCACACAGTGATAAATAGCATAGCTCTTATTTGTTTAGGAAACTAGGCCAAAAAAAAAAAAGTACAGTAGCTCACTGAAGAGTATGTGGCTTAAGAAGGACATCATTTAATATGGTTGCTTTATCTTAAGGAAGTCACAGCTTCTTTAAGCTCGTAAATGAACTTTTAATTATTTATGAGAATTTTGCTCTAATAAGACTTTCAACTGAGTGACTTCAAGAAAAAACAAGAAAAGGATACGTCTCTTTCGCAGATAAGACAGCAGCATCTGTTCAGGATCAGCATGTTTCTCTATTATCTACAGTAAGAAATGAAAACCAATCTCTAACTAAGAAAGCAAAACTTTTCAAAATTCAGGGTACAGAGTACATTCCCACAAAGCCAGAAAAAAGTCCTTCTCTGGTTTCCTCTCATAGAACTACCCCTATTGCAATGCCCACAGGAGAGTTTGGACTTGTAAAAAATTCTTCAGACAGATAATGATTCCAGGATCTACTAAAAATAAATGCTGCTTACTTGAAAGGTCATGCTGAGGGAATTGACCTTCAACCATACTAAAAATAAAAATGGGATAGAACTTTGGTACAATAAAGGTAGCATAGCACAAAGAATTAATGATTTGCAGATTTTAGAGTCTCTCTGGTACTTTAACCTACTGGGATGAACAGTAGAGGATACCTCTAAGGGTATCAGCAGGAATCACTTTTCATCCAGTTTTATTTACATAAACCTGCACTTGCCTTAATAGACCAAAACCAGAGCATCAGAAATGCCTACATTCTTATTTCATTAGAGGATTGTTTATTCCACTGCTTAGAATCGGCTATTTCCTTCCAGTTACATTGAATCAATACCAAGCTTAATTTTGCTCTTGCAGTATTATCGTTATGATGGCCATTAGTCCAGATTTTGGCACTTGGGTCTTGCTGACTTGCTGGTGTTATTCTGTGCATCTCTTCTCCAACAAACACTGAAAATGAAAAGCTAGGCACCTACAAATGAAAAACTAGTTTGCTCACTACCTAAATTTGATAGCCAGTTTAAAGCCCACTTCACTTTGAAGTTTTTTCCCCCAAAACTCAACAGCGCTGTGGAATGTTTTAACCACATTGTGGATTTACCTTGCTGTGCAGCTGAACTATACCACAGCCACTCTCTCACTCCCCCTCCTCAAAGGGAAATTGGGAGAAAATATGGGCTCAAGGGTTGAGATAAGGACAGGGAGATCACTTACCAATTGTCAGGGGCAAAACAGACTTGGTACTGGGAGATTAGAGAAATTTATCACCTATTCCTAACAAGCTAGAGAACTGAGAAACAAAGAAAACAAACTAAAAACACCTTCCTGTCATCCACCCTCTTCTACTTCCTCCCCCCAAGTGGCACAAGGCAAAGGGGAATGGGTGCTGCAGTCAGTCTGCAGCACTTTGCCTCTACCACTCCTTCATGGTCACTTTCTGCCCCTGCTCCATGTGGGGTCCATCCCACAGGATGCCATTCTTCCTGAACCGATCCTGCATGGCTTCCCACAGGAAAGAAATGCTCCCATATGGGTCTGTACCATGGGGGACATCCATCAGGAGCAAACTGTTCCAACATGGGTCCCCCATGGACAGCAGATCCCCCCAGATCCCCTGCTCCTGCGTGGGCTCCTCCAGGGCCTACAGCTCCGGCCCGGCCCCTGCTCTGGTGTGGGTTCTCCACGGGCTGCAGCCTCCTCTAAGTCTGAGGAAACCAGATCTCATTTGTGCCCACACCATTCAGGGTTACTTCTGGAACGGCAACCGCTCTTTCTCCGCTCCCCCTCACAGCAGCACTTACCTTCCTGCCATTCACATAGAAAATGAGCTCGTCAGCCCCTGCTGCTCCTTGCAAGGACATCGTATTCCAGCCTCAGAACTTTCTGCGGCAGCTGGGGAGTCCTTCGGCAGGCTGGGGCGGAGCCGCGCAGCAACGGGGTGGACACAGAGGCGGGAACTGGGGGAGGCACCTTCAGAACCGGGGCTGCAAAACTCAGAGCAGGAACTCTCCAGGGAGTTCAGAATGTGTAAATAAAAAGTTTGAATTAAATGAAATTCTGCAGCTATTTTAGAAAACTTTCAAATGGAGGCTCGGGAATACTTTATCCTGATTAATTCCAATGTGTTGTATTATTTATATTAAAAAAAAAAAAATCTTACCTGAAAGAGACAGAAGAGACTATAAGGCATCAACTGGAGGACCTTGTTTTAAGTAATGATGCTGTAAGGTCTTTGATTTTGAACTGTAGGGAGCCAACTTGAAGAATATTCCATATTCTGAATTGCAAGGACAAGAAGATGCTCTTGTGAACCAAAGGGAGGATGGCAAACTGCAGCCAGATTCTTCTTCCCTGAACTGTTCAGCATAGGGTTTGCACATGCACATGCCAGGCTGAGTTCAGGACAGGTGATTAGACATTGTTCAGATAAGAGGTAACTGTTAGACTTATTGTTATTTTTAAAAACAACAACCATTTCTACTTGAACATAACTGTCTCTCAATAAAACTCAGGTATTTCAGACTGATGCCAGACGTAGAGCACAGCGATTTAAGGGAAGGAGAGAGTCCTGATTCCTCTGATGAGCGAGCATATTCATCCACGAGTTACTGAAGAACTATGTAACTTCAGTTGTTACATGGGATGCACCCTGTGTAGGACGTTTTAAAATGATGCTTCTTTGTTATTATTATTTCAGTCTGACTCTACATTTTGATTTCTGTAAAATAGATGCAACTAGTGATTTTCCCCTTAAGAGGAGACAAAGGAAGAATCAGTTATGAAATTCATGTTCAGAAGACGTTACAGGCTTGCATCTTCCCACCTAGACTGTTATATTCATGTATTCTAAAAAGTCAGTGTTGCAGAAAGTTGTATATGTGGTGAATACACTAACCCTTTATGAGCACCTCTGTGGTGGTCTTATCTTCTTTATGGATAGTTTTTACTGATGTTCTGGAAAATTCTGATTCATAAACTTTAGTTTTCTTCTATAAATATTAAAAAGCCTCTGAAAATGAACTTTCAAATCCCATAGAAACTAAAAGATTTTATGAAGTCTTGATATTTAACAATACCAAATAAAGCTTTACATGCACAAGCTTTGAATAATGCATCACCTAGTTTCAGTCCCTAGTAAGTGATGCTTTACAATATTTACTGCCCTACTTCATATTTAGTACAATGAAATATTACCTACTTCATGGAACAATCATTCCTTTTCAGTATATTACAGTTTGCCAGGCCTCTGTCTTACAATGACATGTTTCTTGCTAACTTTCACTGAAATTATTATATACTGTTAAATGTAGGATGCTGGAATCAGAACATATAAGAAAAGACAAACTTATTCCTTTGAAGATACTGAATTATTTTATATGATGTATGTAAATAATATACATTTTTAAATGCAGCATAATATTAAAAGTGTATTTTCTCTTACTATTTCTCTTACAGAATGTTTTGAATTTAAGTTCACTTGCTGATTACATACCTGGTATTTTTTCAATTATGAAATGTTCATATTGTCTTCCTCTTGCACTGTACTTTCCTCAGAAAAAGAAAATACAAGTATATTACATATGTATTTTCAGTTACATTGTATGTATGAGGGGAATTCTATGTAAATCCATCTAATTAGTACTGCATATATCTCCTCCCAAAGTTACAAGTTGCTTTTTTCTTGATGGTTAGAGCTAATCACACAATTTATTTACTTGATTTTGTTAAGGTACATTCAGACAGTAAGACATATCTCCTGCTTTTTTAAAGGACACGTGTTCCTGCAGAAAAAAATGAGCTATGTGAACTGCTATTGCTTTCTAACAATTAAGTCTCCAAAGGTAATTTTAAATTGTGTTAAATTCCAACAATATACGAATCATAACTCCAATGGAAGTTTTGCATAAACTTGCACTCACAAAATAGTCTTCAGTAACTTCAAGATGTTGTAGGCATTTGTAAGGGATACTTGTACCAATAAGGGTTTATTGAATCAGTCTCCTTTTCCTGTTTAATTTAAATATACTGAAGTGATTAAATAAATTTTAAAACAACGAAAATCTTTCAGTGGTAAACTATAAAATCTAAAATAAATAAATAAATAAAATAAACATGAGAAAAAAAAAACAACAACTTTGAAGCTATAGAAAAAAGTCCAAAGTACCCTATTCTCATCAAAAATCTTAATTCCTGTGACAGGTACAGAGGTGTTTTAATCTGGAATATTATGAGCTGTTTTAACATCAATTTTTCCCATCCCAGCAAGAGCTTCTACTGTATTAACTTATCTAGAAGAAGCACATTCAGTGAAGACTCAACAGACAATGTAACAATTTATCTAGTGCCTAAAGTGAGTGACTATTTTGCTATTTTGTAAAACAAATAACAGAACCAGATCTTAGATGATAGCAGAGTACATGATATCCCTGTATGTAATATCAACTTGAGCAACAAAAGCTGTTGGGATGGAGAGAACAATGAAACAAGAGCAGAAGCAACAGTGATATGATTTCAGAATTATTTCAAGTAATTTCTGCTCATCTTCAGGCCACTTTCTTTATCTTTTGTTATTCTGAATGTTATCTGTACTGAATGGAATTGAAGAAACTAAGGCATAAAGTCTAGGCCTTACAGTTTTATTGAAAATTACGTGAAATACTATACCAGTCCAGCTGGTAGTATCTGAGACTGTATAGAACAGCAGGACCTTCACTGAAAAAAAAGAAATAAGACAATCTCCAATAATATTTTTTTTTCCAGAGAAAAAAAGCATGTTTCTTTTTCTAGCTCTCAAACCACAGACAATAAAGACAAACCATAAAAAAATAACAAAAACAAACAATCAATCAAACAAAAAAAACCACCTGCATTTTGCTGCTGCATTGCCAGTAAAGTACATGAGTTGTAACAAATACTTCTTTGGATTTCTAAAAAAAATAATGACATACCTAATGATGTTGATACACAGAGAGAAGGCTAGCAAAAGCATTTCAGTTAAAAAGGAAACAATTATAAACTGTGAAGAAAATAATAATAAAAGGAAAGAATGTATAATATTGTAATTCTTTCTTTAATAATATTGAATGAGGACAGAATCTATCATTCCATCCATATCTGCACCTCTTCAAAATGATTTTGCTAATGTAGTGACATACACAGTACATTTCAGAATGAAAAAGACTTGTTTGCTGAGCATTCTGAAAAAAAATTGCTGTCAAAAGCCCTAAAAATTTGAGGTAAAGATCATTTACTTCTGTCCTCTCACACACCAAGCTAATCATCTAATTGTAGAAGGTTATCAGCTCAATTCAGCAAGATCCTCCCTACATAAATCCATGCTGAATACTCTCAACATCTTGAATCTTTAACATGTATGGAAATGGTTTCCATGAGGATTTTCTCCATCACTCCATCACCTACTTAGGTTCCAATGGATGCTACAATGAAATATGAAGAGTACTGTTTTTTTTGTTGTTGTTGTTGTTTTGTTTTTTAAGTGTACGCATTGTATGCATTATAAATTTAAGAGTACTAGTTACTTAGAGGTATACCAGATCAGATCAAAGGTCTAACTTATCAAAGAAATGAGCAGTCTCTCAAGGTTTCAATAGTGAATACCCTTAGAAAAGGTATAAAATGGCATTTCTGCTAATTCCTCATGTATTTTTCTTCTGTTAATTAGAGTGATCAATATTTAAACCCATGTAAACTAACAACATCTACTCCTGTTGTAAGGAATTCCTCAGTTTAACTGTACATTGTGTGAAAAAAACACTTTCTGTAATCAAAGAAGATAATTTATTTGCATCTCATTAAAAATGAGCTTTGGAACCACTTTTTTTTCAAAGTGAACCTGAACCTTTATCCAACATAATCCATAAAAGTTGTGTAAACTGTGGGCTATAACATGTGGCTGACTGCATCTACAACTCAGATAATACCATAAAATTGTTTGTCCGACGACAATGTGTTACCAAATTCTGAAGTGACTGATGATGAACCAGAGGGGAAATAATATAAAAACCTGATAGCTGAATTATATGATGTGCTTGTAGTATTTGTCTCATTATCACACTCTCAACTGGATACTCAGCACTGCTTTGGATGTTATTTACTACTGAATTTCTACTGCAATGCTATATTCTTTCTAGTTGCCTCTAACACATATGCAGGACACTGGGTTTCTGTCTAATGTTCCTAAAAATAAGAACGCATTCAAATTTTAACGATTCTGCCAAAAAGCAAAACAAAACAAAACAATTATCACAAACTACTCTTTCCATCAGTTTCAGATTTATCAAAGCTTGCGATGCTTGGCCTGATCCAACTAGCATTGAGAAATGATTCTGCTCATGGTAAATATGACGAAATCACAGAAATTTCCAAATGTGATTTATTTTTATTCTCATAGAAACTTACACTTTTCTTACAAATTAGTAAGTGCTGCAAACACTTTGAAGAGTTTATAAATTACAGACCAAAAAAGTAAAACACAATAATGGAGTCTAATCTGCATTTGTTTTCCTTAGTGAAGAATTCTGTGCACTTTATATAGGGAATCCTTTCCAAGAAATCTCACTTCTTTGGAAGGCTTTGTTTTACCTCCATCAATCAAAACCAAGTAAACATTCTATACTACATTTTTATTTTTTTTTACTTTCTGAAAAAAAAGTACCCATTTTAGAAGTACTGTTCATAAAGGCATTTCTCCTGTCTTCTTCAAATGATTTTTGATTTACTTTTAAAACTTCTTCTATTTTTTACTTTATAAACTGGGAAATGCAGAAATTGCGTATCTGTAAACGGATCCCCACGCCTTAATTTGCTGTAAACAAAAGAAATAGAAAACACCATATAAAAATCACCAAAAAAATCTATGCAATTATAATAACAATTCCAAATTGTAAATAATCTCATGGAAAAATTAATACACTAAAGAAATTAAATATCTAGAAAACAAATACTATTTTTCAAAATAATGCTAAAAGTCTTGGTCTTGTTATGTGTCATGTGTATCATATAAACATGCATTCTCATAACTCCTAGAAGACAAAATTAAAAAAGGACAAACCAAATACGTCGTAATATCTACATGGGAGAGAACACTTAAAAATAAAATATACGTAGGGGATAAATCTAAAATCCCAAGTGAAATCCATTTTTTTTTTTTCCTGTTATTGTTTCATTGCCTCTTTCCAGAAATATAAAACCTTATCATTGTGAGATCTAACAGGTGAATGTGTCAATGGCATAACATCACACCATCTTTTTAGCATCCAATTAAAATTAGTAAAAGAAAAATCCAACTCTTATCCCTTTGCCTTTGTTTTGCTAACTTTATGGAAAAAATATTTCTGAAAAAAAACAAAAGTGGTAAAAAGAAAATTCAATTCTTTGCTTTTAGTTACTATTTGTCTTCGATCTCACTGTTTCAATTGTTTACTTACTTATGGAAATAAATATTTTTGTGTGTAAGAAAACACTGATTTTTTTTTTCAGATTGTGGGTTTATTTTCTTCTCCCAGTTTCACCAGCATATTCCTTTTGCACCCTGGTAAAATAAATTACTATAATCCTTTCACTCTCAAGACCATGATGGGGAAATCTTGATACTGTCTTTAGCTAATGAATATGCAATCTACTAAAACATACAACATAGCATAATTATTCTTTAAAGTAATATTTATATATATATATATATATATATATATTTAAACCTGGTGCCAAAAAGCTTTCTGAATATTTTCAGAACTTATTTTCAACTTAATGTTCCATCAGTACTTAGGTGTATTCACATAACCGCAAATATATGAATTTTCTTAATGGAAGTTTGACTCTGAAATCCTCTTGTAAATTTCGATTAATATTATATAATCTATGGCATATCTTTTCAAAATCTTGGAAATATTGTGCCACTAAATTCAGTAAGAACACTGATATAGGTATCTAACTATCAAATTATAATATTTTAAACTCAAATGATTTCTTACATTAGATATAACTATATATTTATCATCAGATATAGCTATATTCTTACTTAGTTAAAGCAAAATAAATGAATAACATAATATTAGTACACACATTATCTTCCACTTAACAATGCTACAAGGACTTTATTATGGCAGTTTATATTTAAGATTTACAGTTATTCACCTTTAAATGGGTTTATGTCATGATAAACATTAAGAATTCATCATCATTCACTACTAGAATAAAATGTTAAATAATAAGCTAGATATATTGCTGTCTCTAGCACCTGAAAACCCTGACACACTAACAGGAAACATTTTACATTTACACTGTAGTATCTGTCCACTCCAGTTTGGAAACAATATTTTTTTAAAAATATTTTTTTGTGTGTTTGAATAGTAAATGTTTATTAAGTTATGTTCTAGAAGTAAATACAACCTCTGCTCTAATTTACAGATACTTGCCATCTTAGACCGGGCTCTTTGTAGCAAATTTTGGGTCTTCCTCCTCTAGCTGGTGCTGCTGAATTTTCTTCTAAAACTTTAGGGCATGTAGGTAAAGAAGCATGAGAACATACACTGGTATTTGTCAGATCTTGAAAAGCTGTTCTCCCTGTGAATATAGCAGTTTAGATGTTTCATTTCAAATATTTTCTGAATCATTAAGTAAATTTTCAACTCATTATTTTTTGTTTTTATTTCCTAATTCAGGTATTTTGGTCACTGTTCTTCCTCTGAAAATGTTCTGCAAGGAATGGTACATGATCGAAGGAGAGGGAACTACAACAGCTTTCAATTTATCCTAGTTTGGAGCTGTTTGAGGTCTACCATGGCTCTTGGGACAGAATCAAGAGACAGACTCAAATCCCAGAAACACTGTAATATGCAGCTGGCTGCTTAAGACTCCACAAAGTTGTTAAAGTAAAATTGCACACATCTCAAGGCTTTAATGCAGGTGGAGGGAATATTATGTATAACCTGAAGATCAACCTGAACAAGGGTAATCTATGGGTGACTAAATTTTTCAATTTTGTTCCTGCTCTATGAACACGTATGCAAAATGAGCACAGCAAGGTGATTAAGTGAGGATCCTTATTGTCAAAACTATATACTACAGAATTATTTACAATGCCTTGTATTTTTAATCACAACACGTCAAAGAGGAATACTCTATTAAGAAGTAACCAGCCTTGGTGGAAGAAGCACTATTTGTGTCAATTTTGTGTAATATTTTAAGATCAGCTCAGAATGCAGACTAAACATCAATACTCAATTTGGAGACAAATATTTAGATAACTTGGAAGAAATATTAAAGTTATTACATTAGTCCATGTATCAAAAAATTCTAAACTATTCATAGTTCACAGTCTGAGAAGCACCAAGATTTAATGCAGACATCAATCCAAGATAAAATAAATACAGCCTTAATCCGTATGCCTTAAAAGTTCTCCAAAGAGCATACATTCTCCACTAATACAGATCAAATCTTAAGTTTACAGCATCCAGATGAGGACATATTGGATGCAGTTTTCAACGGGACTGAAATGAAAGCTCTCTTATTTTTACTTCTTGAGCTTGAAGTCTTTACTCACCTTAAATTCTGGTGCAGAAAATGCATGCTATTGATCACACGAAGGAAATTCAAACACACACCAGTAATGATGACTTTTCTGTTGTGCTTATCTTAAGACTAGTAAATTATACCACTGAATATATATATACCTGCTAAAAATTGAAGATTTTATTTTTTATAATAGCAACTGAATATCTTGTACATTGTAGCACACAAACCGAACTGATAGCCACGCAAATACCACTGAATTACCATTATCCTGTAGAAGAATTCTTTGCTGAGATCAAGTGAAATATATTAGTGGATAAGACCAACCATTTTATAATATTATTTTTTTTTGAAATATACTAATTAGAGACACAAAAATCAAAAGTTCTTAATTGGATTTCTGCTAACTTTTCTCCTAAGTAAAGTTACTTGGGCTGCTTGCAGGAAGTTACTCCTGTTTTATGAAAGCAAAAAGAAAAACATTGTACTTTGAAGGAATTAAGTGGATTAAGGAAGTTCATGTAGTTTAAGGGAGAGGGATCTCCAGCCATCAAAAACATCTTGAGTTTGGCTGCCTCAAATCAATCTTGATGTGGACTAGTTTTAAATAGGAAGTAAAATGTTATTCCAAGCTTTTCCTAAAACTAAAGGTTAGAGATCATTTCAGTTTCTTTATGACCAGAAGAATTTTGAGACATATATGAGTATAAATTATTTAGGCAAGCTGGATGGCTTTGAGTGTGAATATTCATGTTGACATATACATAACTGTACAAAGACCTTTGTTACAGGAAACTTTTAAGGTATATTTTTTAAGTACAGCACAGTAGTGATGCAGAAGAGCTGGCATCAGAATTGATGGCTTTTCCTTGCTTTCTTTTAATTCGAGATGTGGTCTTGTATGTAGGATGAAGAATGAATAGGTTTTTCAGTTCTGCTTAAGTGGACAAAGATCAAACGATTAGCTTGCTTCATTTTATGACAGTAGTCTTTGATACTACTGATCACAAGGGTGTACTAATCCAATATTAAAGCTAATAAAAATACAGGATCCTTTTTCTACATTCCAAATAAATTTAATATGAGAAGCTGTAACCGCAGAATAGCAGCAGTAATACCTTGCACAGTGTTCTAATTCTGCCAATACTCCTGTTCTACGGTCATGTAAAATAAGAGTTTTTTTTTCAGCCAGTATTCTAGGGTTCAAATGAAGCAAAAGCAAGATTTGCTTTAATGGCTTGGGATTCCATTTATTTATTTGAGCTAGGAAACTGGCTATGTGCTAGCACATTCTTAGGGACAGTGAAATAAACAGGAACTTGTTGAGAGGAAAAAATCGTTTATAAAATAGAGCCTTCATACTAGGAAACTACCAAGCTACATTTTAAAGCATATTTAAACTCCAGAATAGTCATACATTCCTATAGCTCCTTTACAGTACTTTCATGTACAACAAGAGAATCTAACTTATCTTCCAGACCACACTGAAGTGTTTCTTTTTTTTTTTTCCTTCTACTAAATGCATCTTATTCAAAATAAATAAGTAGGCTGTCACACGAAAGTTTCCTCATAGGTAGATTCTAGAGAAAACCTGCTCCAAGCTTTTTTTTTTTTTTTTTTTTTTTTTCTTTGTAAAGATCTCAAAATTTGTGTAGATTTGCAATATTTTTAAAGAAACACATATGAAACCTGTAAGTCCAGTTAATGAAAACAGCTCTTGCATCTGTTCTCCATTTATGACGGTAACAATGTTCACTCTTACTTCCCCTTGTATGAAAATACCAAGTTATTTTATCTTTTTACCCCTACCTTTCTGAATCCTACCACATTCTCTTGCAAAATGAATACAGGCTCTAAATATAACTGCTCCTCAAGAATGCAGACTAACTTAAGTGTATGACAAAATGCTATCTTGGAACATATTACAGTATATTATAGGAATATTAGTTACCACAATTTTAAAGCATATTTTGATTGATAAATGAATCATTTTAGTGATTTTCAGCTTTCCCTTTTTCACTCCTGTTTTATCCACTGTAATCAAGAAATAAGAATAGGATAGTATTGAGAAAGTATCTTACCACAATTCCAGACAGAAACTAATTCAAAATGCCACTTTTTTTCCCTCCTTCATGTACTTACCATGACCAGGTGCCAGAGTCTTTTCAAAAGTCTCTCTAGAAATACGATCCAACTTTTGCTCTGCTTTTCCAACATCCAGTGCTTTATCTTGATTATTTTTCCCCCAGATTTCAGAGTTTCTCAGCATGCAGAGGTTGACGGAAGAATGGAATTTAGGGTTATCAAGAGCTTGGAGCTCCAAATTGGAAAGATCTTCCTGGAAAAGTCTACCTGTATTTAATGACATATTCTTAGAAAAATCTACAGGTATGAAATTCAAATATTCTGATTTTTCAACTGTAGGTTTTAATTTGCTCATAAAGGAATCTATCTTATGCGGGACTTCATGGTCATCCAAAATGTTCAGCTGTACCTGATCAGTACGCCTGAAATAATTTTTTTCTGGTCTGGTCTCCATAACACCAGAAGTAAAGCTCCCTTTGTTCTTTACTTGATTTTCAGAAGAATTACTAGTGTTAGGGGTTTTGCATGTCATTGATGAGGAATCTACCCCCTTTAATGCATTAACATTGCCATCAACTTGTTGTGTAGAGGCGGTAGCCTGTGGTATATTCATAGCTACACCATTCTGAGTAATTAAAGCTACCTGAGATTGCTGAGTTTCAGTTATTTTATTTCCATGAGCAGCCTGTGTGCACAATGTATCCTTATTTTTTAATTCTTCACTTTTGCAAAGTGAGAACTGTGTAAGATCTTTTGTTGGCATTATATATGCTTTACGGCCAGCCTTTGCCAATGTACGTTTTAATCTGCCTGGTGAAAAATTAGTACTGTTACCATGTGCTTCCTCAGTAATTTTATGAACACTATTATTTTCTCTTTGTCTGTTACTACCTTTTTTATTGCATTTACTCTTTATAGTATTCTTCTGGTCTTGTTTTTTCTTTCTGTCATCTTGGCACCTCTCTGTTTGAGACATTTTTGAACCATATTCTCCATACTGCCCATTTTCCACTCCACAGCATTTTGCTGTGATTATTTTAGAAGGGTTTTGGAGGGGTTTCCTGTTTATTTGTGGTCTGATATGCTTTGCATTTTCACTTGGAAATTCCTGCTGTAAAGGTAATACATTAGAGGTGTTATCCTGAAACAGTAAACTTTCAGCACAATAAACTTGAGAAGAGATCTTGCTATTAGATGAATCTGAGTCTGCTTTTATTTTGGTTTCCAATTCTTCATATGTTTCTGAGAAAGTTTCTTTATTTTTCTCTTGTTCTTGTTTTCTTGGATGTGCTAGTTTAATTAGGCATGTCCTAGTATCTCTAGTTTTACTTGGACAATTTTGTGCTTCATAATAGTCATTAGTATTTGGCAAATTCTGCTTCTGTAAAGATTTCTTCGTAGGTTGCTGTTCTGTCTGACTTTGGAATAGCTGCGTTTGTGACTCAGTAATTTTTGAAACTTTGCTCTTGTCAGCCCTGGTGTGCCTTTCTTCTGCATACAAATCTGAACTGACTTCAGTCTTGCTTTTCATTTTCTCTTTATCATTTTTAGAATATTTTACTCTTCTGAAATTTCCCAATATTTTATCAGAATTGGCATTATTGTTTTTATTTTGATGTAGCTTATCTTTGTCTTTTGATGTAACTGTGAGCAGCTCACCTGCATCACTGGCAGTCAACTCCATATCAGCATCATATACGGTTTCTTCAGGTTTAGTCTTGTCAATAAGCAGCATTGACTTAAACTCTATGTTACCTTCACTGTTAAATTCAAGAGGTGAAGGAATAATGTGAGACAAGCCACTTGAACTTCCCTGCAAATTCATGTAATTGGTTTTGCTGCTGCTACCGTGATGATGCATATCCGAGATACATTTTTTATCAAAATCATTTATATTAGGTTGAGGTTTTGACCTATAAAGTGCTGCATGGTTCCTTCTTTCAGGCACATTTCCACAGAATGGCAATGAAATATTTTTTTGTTTTATAAGCTCCTCAGACTGTCTCAGAGATTGAGTATTATTGATATGAGTCAGGAATGCACTATTGTAGTATAGTTCTCCATGTAAATGATTTTCTGCAAAGAAGAACAGAAATTTCAGCAGCTTGGGGAAAAAAGGAATACATTTGTCAGAGTAAGATAAAAGCATGGAAAATGGCAAACTGCATTTTTCTACTGAATACACACATTCTGTGGTTGGTCCTTAAAAATTCAGTTAATTACAGCTAGGTTCCCATTTTACCAGACTTGGAATTTTGAAGTTAGGTATAAAAAAAAATGTACTTGTTTTCTATGAGTGCTGCAGTTATTATTTCATTATCTTATCAAAACTTTATCCTGTTCACATTAATTTTGTTATAGCTTGGACTAGACAATCTTAGAGGTCTACTCCATCCTAAATGATTCTATGATTCTATGAATTTAATCTGTGTTATTCTACAAGAGATTGTCAGGACACCTCTATTTATGGATGAACATTCTATTTTGATTAATTTTTGATAGTTCAGGAATCTTACTCTATCTTCTGTATCATACATCAAGTTATGAACTATTAAATACTAATTCTCAGCTAGGTCTAAAAATAATAATATTAAATTATCTGTACAGAAAATATATCTTACCTTCTAAAACAATATTTTTGTCATTGTTTGTTTCCACCTTGTCTACTTCATTTATCTTTTGATTATTTTTACCAGAAGGCAATGATAATGCAAACTTGACTTGATCTGAATGCATGTCCTTTGACAAAGTAGTGGTACTTTTAGAAGATTTTGTTATTTCATACCCAGAAGGGCTACCCTGCTGTTTTCCAGTAGATGCTGTGAGTAAAGGAAGCTTCACAGGCAATTCTGCAGAGCTGAAAAGAGGGAATTTTACTGTGAAGATTTCATTATGTTGTATGCTATAACATTCAATTGTTTAAAGCAGTCCTTTAGTCATGTATAGAAGCAGAAAACAAGAACTCAAGCATGAAATGCACTTTACTTCTGGTTCTATCCAAGGGGCAAATGTATTTTTTATGATACAGAATCCATTTTGTGATGGTGAGATCCCATGAAGAAGCAAATTATTCAAACACAGGTTTGCATACCACTATCTTCCCTAATCATTCTATGTTGCAAATAGTAATTTCTGAATTAGACAAAATTATTTCTCACTACCTCAAAAATATCTAGAAAGATACATATATAATACATACAAAGATTAATTGTAAAAACGTAAAAATAAAAACCTACAGACACTTCACAGCTGCCATATTGAATACAACTTACCTAGCTGACTGAGACATACTCTTCAACTGGTCATCAGTACAGTTACTTGGACCATCTGTCAGAGCAAGAAAACTCTGAAGATTCTTTCAAAAGAAAAGCAGTGAGGATGTAGAAACAGCTAAATATTCTCTTATGTATTATTAGAAATATCCACGGGAAAAATATAAATTAATAGACAAAAAACAGAAGTACTGCTGAAAGGTGCATGATATTCACTGCTTCCCTGATTATAACTTTTGCAGATAAGACATTTGTATAAAAACATGCATAACATATTTCTTCAAGCACACACAACAGCTCTAAAGAAAAAAAAATGTAGTAAAACTTATCAAAATCTTCATCCTACTCACACCCCGAAACAATGTATAGATTTTGTTCATACAGATACAATTAATGCAACAAAGTGCATTAGGTATATAGATGCACCCAGCAATGCTAATACTATGCAACTTTTTAGAACAAATCATAAAAAACATAGTTTGTTAATACCAGACAGCCATACTAAAACAGAAGATAATCACTTAACTGTAATTTTGCCATGACACAAGGACCGACATAGTCTGTTTTCTGGTAAGGTTTCCACATTCAAGGTTTTTATTAGACTAGCATAGTTCATTCCAACTTTCAGCAAGGAAGACAAGTAGCTCTTTGAAGAATGCCACCTACTGAAATACTATGCAACGTTTTGTTTGTTTGTTTGTTTGTTTGTTTGTTTAAGTTACGTGACTGCATCAGGTCTGATACATAACTTTTAGATTCTTTGTAAACAAGATTAAATCCTAAATTTTTAGTGCCTGCAACAGTAAAACACCATTGATTTAAGTGGAACATTGCTGCACCCCAAACCAAACAACAGGGGTAAATGTTTTAAAATGCATCTAATTCCAACATTGCAGACATTTAGACTCTTTGAAAATATTATCCTGGTAAAATTGTTTAAAAAATACCTTACCTCAGGAAGACTGCTTATTTCTATTGCAGCTAAAAGGTTATCATTCAAAAATGCTTCTATTTCTACAAGAGTTTTATTCTGCATACAAAAAGAAAAAGTAATTTAAAGAAGCTTTTTAAACATCTTCCTTTCTTAGAGAAAAGATATAAGGGTAAATACATATGCCGTAATTTTCAAGCTCATTTAAGGGCTAAAACTAATATTCAATAGCTTTAAATACAAAAGTGAAGGTGACACTATAATAGCTAAGGACAAAGATATACCGACTGACAAAATAGTACAAAAATTAAAGAAAAATCAAACATGAACAATTAGTTGCTATGAGATGACACAACTTCATAAATGTAAATGTTTCAAATCACCATTTTAAGGAGCAATATGTTTCCAAAAAGGATGAAAGCTTGGTTTAGCTGATCTATCTTTAAATATTATTTGTAGTTTACCAAACAGCTTAGTTTCCGATGAAGCAAGGTATTATAAAGCTGCAGCTTTTCTACTTCCTTCTGAAGAAAAAGCTTCTCCTTCTTCAGTTTCCGAGAACTTTCTCTCTCCACACTCAAAGCCAGAGCTAATGCTTTATTATTTTGTTTTAAAGATACTTTAAACATTGATGAGTTATCTATATTAGAAAAAAAAAAATCAGGTAATTTCATTTTCAACAGCTTCAGTTCCAGACCCTCTTTTTATGTACTATAGAATAATACTTAGAATTAGTACTATAGAATAATATTTTTATCTATATATTTTGACACAACAGTAAAAAAAAGAAAGGATTTTAAAATGGATAGTTTTTCTGGCATGACAACATTTCCAGCTTTCTAAAAAAATATATAAAATTTTACAATTAAAAAGTTCAAACATTTTGAGCAAAAACTTGTTTCAGCAAGAAAAAAAGCTTTAAGTTAAAAATACACCACCTGCTGTCCTAATGAAAACCTGCTTACTCATGTCTGTTACTGAACCTTTTAAGAACTTTTTTTCCAGTGATGCAGCATATTACCAAGATGAACATTTTGTCTCATGTTCATAGTATACACAGAGTTAGCTTTAACTCTGAAGTAAGACAGAGATAAGCCTGGCCATACTGTTTTACAGTACCAAAAGGAGAAAGGTTAGCTTGAAGTCTGCTACAGCTACTTTTATTCATTGTCTTATGCTATTACTTCTGTGACCTGTAACCCAACAATCACAATTAGTATTTATAGTATTCCTTGATTCTATAAGTGCCTCAATGAAGAATTTTATATAAATCCCATTTTGCAAATGGGAATTTTATGTACTATACTATTTCAACTATGCAAGGTCATTGATCTTACTCTTTTTGGTACCACAGTTTTTAGATGTCCGAGATAAATAGGACATGGATGTTAGAAATGCACTTGAGTGTGTTCTTTATAAAATGCTAGCACACCAAAGAGCAAACACTGAAAATATTCAGAGAATTAGATAAATAATCAACATACAATCACGTGTTTTAACCTTCAGACTCTCCTTAAATCCTCAACATACATTTTTAGCAGCTGTGATTCAGCAAATCACATTAAATACAATTACTATTACTTTTGAAGTCATACACTTTAAATATAGTAAAATGGCTTCAGTTTTATTTTAACAAGACTTACTTAATAATTTAGTTTTGATTTTAGATGCCAAAGAAGCATTCAGTTTTGCAGTTTGTGATGTTCTATCCCTCTTCATACACCTTTTAACAGCATCTGAAGTGGTAGATAACTTAGCAGTTGCTTGTTTATCCATCGTAAAGATCAACCTGCAAGTTGTCAAGAGGAACCCCCAAATGATACGTGATACTATTTAAATAGTAAGTTGCGTTATCTCTTATCAGGATTTATTATCTATGAAGTTGAGGAAAAATCATCTCAGTCTTCACTTATTCGAACAAGTTAATGATTCGTTCCACAAGATCTAAGTCACAGTATCACAGTGGCAACAAATTGAACTAACAAATATGACAACTTAAAAGGATGACAGATTTTTGCTTTTGTCCATTCCCTCAAGTTATCTATCCTAATTTACGCTTAAAAGTAGCGGTTACAAAAAAAAAATAAAAATTCCACCACTTGACAATCACCACTGCCAGGAAAAATTTTAAGCACAACCTTTTAAACAAACAGCATCAGAAAAACTACACATACAAGTACACAGCAAGAGAGACCGATCCGCAAGATCCGCGGGCCAGAGGACCCCGCAAACCGCTTGTTGGAGGCAGGTCCCGCCGCCAGCCGCCCCTCGGGGCTCCCTCGTCCTCGCCGCTGAGGGGCTGCGCGCCCGCTCCCGCCTCGCCTCGCCTCAGGGGTCGCCAACGGCTGCGCGAGCCCCGGTTGGCCCGGTTGGCAGCCGTTTGGCCGAGCCGCTCGCGCCCCCCAACAGCCACGGAGTGTGAACGGCCCCGCCTGGAAGCAGCGGGGCGGCGGCCTGCAGGCTGACCCGTGCTCAGTCTTACCCCCTACCCCCTGTATGATGTAGTTATTTAGAATGGAATCATTGAATGACAGCCGAATAAAACTATACACGGAAGTAAGAGCAGGTGGCAAACTTAGCGACCAAAAAGTTGTCGTATATACATTGTAACACTGAGAATAATTAAGGTTCTGTGATCCAGTAATTATTACGAAAAAGATTATCATGTGCTAACATTACCATGTGCTATGAAGTAAATCAAATCAATCAAACAATAAGTATCAGTAGCATTATAGAAAAACAAAACAAAACACAACACTTATATAACTTTAAGAACAGAAAGACAATTACATTAATATAATTTACTTCCTTTTGCTTTCCAGAAGGTATTGTTTTCCTGTGGATCCAGTCATGACATTTCATTCCTTCAGTTGCACCATAGTCCCAACTCCTAAAGAAGTAATCACTAATGTGATTGCAGTTGATATTTATGTCAGAACTGCTGACAATAAACTTAAATTAAAACATCAAAAGTTGTGATTCCACCTGTGGTCATACTTTCCTTTGAACTTTGCTGAAGAACTCCCACACTGTAACATGTCACATTTAAAAATCTCCAGTTTATTGCCAGCTGCTCAAAATGGGGAAGAGCCTGAAACTGCCACGTTTCACAGCCTATATACCTTAAATAAATATTAAGAGCAGAAGTATCTACACATCCACCTCTGAGAAAGATCTTGGTAGAGTTGAGTCTAGTAACTTAAATTACTTTGCAACTTGATAATGATGGATACATTTAAGCTGCAGTTGCTATGTATGAACCATTCCTAGTGAGTATGGGACAACACACATTATGTTATTTCTAAAGATACAGTTCAAACAGACACCATTATTCCACAGAAATAATCTATTATATATATTTCCACTTATTTTAGAGGAAGTCTAACATCCAGCAATTATCAGTCTGTATCACAATTCAGTGTCAAGATGTAACTTGTGTGCTTACTAATTAATTAGGCACCAAATATTAAAGAACATAATTTCCTTCATCTTTCTGGTAAGGACCTACAGGCCAGAAATTCAAGCACCTGTTCTGACCTGGCTTCTGGGTACTTCTGTAGCAAAGTCATGTTCAAAGAGCACATAGTATCCTTGGCCCCGGCATAGTATTTTCTTCCTTTGCTGCACCTGTTACATGCTGAGTTGCTAAGAAAAAGGAAATGTGAAATATTTACTGTAGCTTTAACTGACATTCAAATAAAATCAGAATTAAGACAAAAAGAATCAAATTCTAAGTAGAAGGAAATCTGAGTAACACAATTTCAAACAAAATTTATTATATTCCTACTACAACTAGATGCAACATGACTTAGACGCTTCTTTGCTTTAAAGCCATTCACTTGTGACTAGAGGAAAGTCTGAATTACGAGACCATGGCCCTAAATAACTTAAACTGCAGTAACATATACATATTTTGGTATTCTTAAAATCAAACTGTAGTAATAGACCAGACTATTTTAACATAGCTAACTGCACAGTGGGAAATGTAGTTGTTCTGCAATTATTTGTTATGCATTCTTTAATTTGATCCTTTGGTAAATAAACTTGTGGATGACATTTTAAATGTTTTAAATATGGTGGTGAAACACTTCTAAAATAAAATATTGAATAATAATTAAAAAAATGGACTATGCAGGATAAATATCAGTATGAATTGCTGATATATAACTGAGTATATTTGCTAGGTAAACAGATAAACTATTTAAATACAATATGGGCACATTTCTTATGGAGTGTAAAGTTAACTGCATTCTTGCTAAGCTCCAGGTACCAAATAGAATATATTATTAACTTTCTAGGTTTTGTTACCTCTAATTGTATTTTCTACACAGTCAGGTCATGCTTTCCAGAAAGTTTGTGGAACCTCTGAGTTTGTCACTGTTAAATTTTGTACAGTTACTAGTTATTTAGCATTTGTATCCATAATTGTGAAATGTGTTCATCTGATTCGTGTCGATACGGAGCAACGCTATGGCCGCATGATGAAATGTGACCTTCTGTCTTACATACCCTTGTATAACCACAAGTCTAAGAAAAACAGAGTGGTTAATGTGTATAGTTCTTACCTTAGAGCTCTGAGGAAAACCTCCTTAGGCTCATTATAAGCACTAAGTTATTTGCAGGCTTTCTGTTTGAACAGGGTCACCATATACCACTTTTATAAGAAATATTACTCTTTCATACTGTTTACTTTTTGGGTATGAATTCCTGTAGTATTTCAGAGATCTTTTAAAATCCAAAATACAAGTACCCCAAAGAATATCAGTGCTATTGTAGTATACCTTACTCTGTTCTTTAATGGCCTTCACAGTTTCTTAACAATTGCTTTCTACTTATGCCAGTTAGAGTTGTCATGAGACTCCATAGGTTTTCTTATGTAGCTTTTCTTATCATTTTCTCTTGAAAGATTGATTATTCATAATTTACATTGGAGAGAGAGGGAGGAGGAAGAAAGAAGAGGTATCTTTCTTCTTTTCTCAAATTACATAGCATAGAACTCTAAATCTATAGTTCTTGTGCAGTTGGCTCTGAATTTTTTGTAGATATTTTAAAACTTATCAGATTAATGTCTAGTGCATTTCCTATCAGATAGAAACTGTACTTTATTGTAATATTTTCCTTCAGTAACTACTGCTTTCTTTCTCATTTATTTTCACTTAGCGGTTTGTGTACCGTATCTTTTACCATTTTTAATGTGTCGTATTACACAGGTATAAGATAGTGCTGGTACTAGTGACACAAAGGCAAGCTTGACTACAGTGATGAACAGCTGAGAACCATAAATGATACTGTAACAAGCAAAAATGAATAGAACTTCAGATTTGAACATTGTCTATTTTGTAATGATGTTACAAGAATAACAACTGAAATATATAGTTTGTTTCTTCATTTTAAGTCCTTTGTTTTACAGACGGCTAATTGACTCCACTAAAGAGGAAAACTATTTACCATGTAAAGTGGGTCCCAAGCCAATTAGATTCTCAGGTCCTTCAACAAGTACACACATCAAAGTTAAGAATTCAGCTTCATTAAAGGTAGCTGCTTGCAATGCTTCACATTCTGCAGTAACTCTTAAATGACCCAATAGTGAAAGTTTGATTCTGCACAAAGTAGCTTCTGAAACTGAATCTACAACATGCACATCAGAGCCCAGCAATTCCCAGTTGCCCTGTGGAAGGCAGAGTGCTGATTATGGAACACCATGTCAAATGACTTTGAAGATCACAGTGCCTAGAAAGCCTGTAAGCAGCCGTGTAGTAAAGCTGAAGTGCACTCCACTTTTTCTTGCAACACCATCTCAGTCATCATCTTCTGTGTCCAGTAAAACAAGTGAACAGGACAATGCTGCTATTGGAATTCCTACTACTTCTATGGTACTAAGCAAGAAAGAACCAGCTGTATTAACAGAGAATATTAAGAGCGATAAAATGGATGGATAATGTTTGACTCAGCCCAATAGGCTGGACAGCTTGGCATCATCTAGTCAAAGAAGAGCTCATCATCTCATGTTGTCATGTATTCAAAGATTTGGTAGAAAATCATGGTGAAAAAGTTAATCAAGGGCATAGAGAGAAATGGCTTTACATGAGCAGTGAATTGTATTTTCTGCTTTATGTCAAATTATTTTTTAGAAGTTGGGAGGAAGAAACATAGGCTAAGAAACACACAGCATGTGATGTTTAATATTATGGTATCTCACATTTGTATTTCTGTCACGTTGTACTAGTACAACTGACTTTTTTTTAAAAGGGAGTACGTGCAAAGTATAAAAGATGACCTCTTTATTAACTTTAACTACAGGTAACATTAACTAGAGATAATTTCCTTAATCCATATATTTGACTTGGGTGAAAAGTAGATAACCATGAGTACCAGTTATTAGATACAATTTTGTCACTAGTATGCAAGATACTGAGTACTGTGAAGATTTATTTTTTAAGTTGAATGCACAATTACTGGTACTTTTTGTGAGGGTAAGTCACCATTTTATTATTAAGAGCAATAAGAAGGACCCTCTTTGCTTGTACCCAGTGAGAAAATTCATAAATACAGTGAAGGAAGAGCATGGCTAGGGAGCAATAAGGCAGTTTTTCCATAGACCTGAAAACTACACGTACTACTTTCCTACAGGGGTGTCATCTGCTACTGGTTCAAGGCTGCTGCAGGCAGTGGTGCAGCCGTTGTATTCTATATTATACTGCTGTTGGATATATTTTCGACAATTGCAGGGAAACTTACAGGGCTGAGTTGCAGCTTGTATTCCTTTGTTCTTTTAAATGAGCAGGGGACAATCTCAATTTCTGTGCAGTATTAATAGATGTGCTCTGGTTTGAAGAAAGATAGAAGAATCCTTCCTTCCTCCCGAGCAGGATGAAGAAGATGCTGGTTTCTTGTCCTCACTGGTACTAGGGTCAATTTTGACCAATGATACTGAAGTGAAGAGCTGCTGTATGTTTCACTCAGCAAAGGAAAGCTGAATTTATCTCACTTCTTTTTAAATAGTCCTTTTCTGGTTGTTTAAACCAACACTGTTTAAATTTTCCAAACTTGCCTTCATTTTGTGTCCTTGTTTGTTATGGTTGGGTTTTTGTTGTTGGCACTGCTGTTGAAACACAGTAAATACAGCTGGCCTTAAGCGTTAAGAAGTCCTATCACATTGCCTAAATGAAATGTTCTTAAAATTCCTGAGACTATTAGAATTGTGGGAGGGTTATTTAAGTGTTTTATTTTTACAGTCATTTAGAATAAATCACAGTTCCAGGCTTTTCATCATAACCATAAGGACTTGAAATTTCATTTGCAAAAGTAAAAAAGAAAAATAAACTCTTATATACTAACAATTTTAAGGAGACTTTTTGCCATGTACAACAGTTACTGTAAAAGAAAGCAGTACTGTAACTTTCTGTGATTGGTATAAATAGGTGTAGAGATATATATTCAAGACCAGCTTACCTTTAAAATCTACTGTTTTTTTCCTTAAACAATGAACCTAAAAAGCAACAGTCCCAAGGCTCTTCCTGTCTTGAAGACCAGAAAAAGCAAAAATTACAGAAAGATACTAACACTGCAATCTGTTGAGTGTGCAACTCATCATTGATGAAATACAAAAAACTGACTGAAAGGCAGTTTTTAAATACCTGTCTTGCATGTGACTTTTATTTCACTATTTACTGAATAGCTGAGACCTTTACCATATAACTTTGTCTTTTTACAATGCTTCCTAAAGATTTCCTTCCTTTTCAACTTCTGATGAATTTGTAGGCTTCTGTAAATATCATGCAAAAGCTCGCAAAAAGTACTGGCTTTTACATGTGTAAAACGAAGTTTTAATAATAATCCTGTCAGACTTCCTGAGTCTACACTAGCTCAGTGTTTGTGTAATCATTCTGGTAGCACAGTATTTTTTATGTAGCATTCATGTTATTTGCATTACAAGGGCTTCAATGAGTGTCATCTTTGTACACATACTAGCTTGTGGTTAGAAAAAAGTAAAAACCACTCCCTTTAATTTGAGTAGATGAAACACTGAATGAAAGTGGCTGTGGTGAGGAGGTAGAGCAAGATATATTTACTTTTTTGGGGACTTGATTTTTTAATAGGATGAGATGTAAACGTGTTTATTTAAACTCGCTTGAGTACTTTCATTTTTATTTATTTTTTTAATCGCTATGAAGTTTGCTAATAGTTTATTGTAACTGATGTTAAACAGTTTATGACAGTTGAATAGAATTACCGTTCAGGGTAATTCTCTATAAAAATAGCTTTGTCTATATGCATCCAAAACCTTTTAAATTGTATAAATTAAATAGCACTTAATCTCTCTGGGGATTAGCTCAAAATAAATGAAATTTGCCAGTTTTAGGATTAGTCATCCCTTAAATGGGCTAACAGACTGTTTCTTGAGGCCTGGAACAAAGAGCACAAATTCTGCAAGTCTGAGAGTTTCCTGCAGGTTAAACATTCCTCAAAAATGTTTTTTTTTTTTTTAAAACATTCCCAAGTTTATTGGAAGTCTGCAGTTTTGGTAATGTTTCACTTGTTCAACTCAACCAAAGAGGTACCAGCTGGTACTGCATCTGTGATCTGACATATCAGACAGTTCGACTGGGGAAACTAATACAGCTACTTACTTTTTTTTTTTTTTTTTTTTTTTAACAATTGGGATTAGACACTGTTAACTGGTGTGACAATGGCTTACTTTGCATCTTTGTGATATACCACTTCAATAACCACTCATTATTGAAGAGGCCACAAAGTTAGTTTTCAACTAGTAATCAACTAGCTGTGCTCTAAAGGCTGATATTTCCATCACCAGTGTATTTTGATGCTTTTTTTTTTTTTCTCTCTCATGAACACTGTCTAAACTTCCAGTTTAGTCCACGCTTTCACGTTGTCTTTCCAAATTATCTGTGATATAAGCGAAGGAGATTAAAAAGAAAAAGAAAAAAAAAGTAAAAAAAAAAAAGGAAGTAGATATTTCATGTGTTAGGCACATGTTAACACATGCTCAGGGAGAGTTTTCATCAGGCTTGTACACAGGTAAGGGACCATTTAAATACAATACAATTAAATGAGCCTCTGTGAACTCAGTGTTAATTCAGGGATGCTTGTCTACAAAATACAGTTCAAATATATAAATACTAGTAAATAATAATTCACATTTCTCTCAAGACAGTGTTGACTTCACATACAGTATTGCTCCTAATGCAGCTACCTCTTTTTTTCTTTCAAACTTATTTAGCCTGCCAGCTCTTCCAGGGCAGAAAAGTACTCTTCTAAACCTACTTTAATTAAATTGCTTAGATAATGATTAAGGAGGCATTGGGGAGGCATTGGGGAGGCATTGGGGAGGCAAGGACAATCCCCAGACATGGACTGTATATCTCGAAACAAGACACTGGAACTCATGATAAGGAAGCGGCAGACGGACAGAGAAACAAATGTAAGGACTATAAATCTCAAAATTGGACATTGGAATTCATTATAAAGATACAACAAACGGAAGAATTGGCAACAACCAGCTCTCGCAATTAAGAAACGTGCCAATTCAGCAGATTCCTGACCAAAGGTGAAAAGTACACTGTGAGGAAGACTCGGGGTCTTCCTCCCAAAGACCCCTGCCCACGTCCCAAAGACCCCTGCCCACAATTCTTGGGAGGCTCTACGCAGGCGCAAGGTGCCAAAAGGCTAATTAGCATGAGAAGCGAGGGGAGGCGGGGATAGGTAATGAATATGTATAGGCGCTTGTAGAATATTGATAGATTGATTGTATAAATTCAAGACTGCTTTCCGCTTTGGGTATGCACGATAGGTGGAGAGATCCCCCGTGCATCCAGCGCTGCAATAAAGAATATACCACTTAAAGGAATTTCGGCTTCGATCTTTGAATCAATCTGGCACCCCAGATGGGACAACCTCTCTGCCGGTCCGCAGGACCCGCTGGGGACAGGACTCCCTAGGGTACCCCCGGGATTTCCCGGAGGGACTCCTCGACTCACTGGATCACTGCGGAGGCAGACAAGGACCCCATCATTGTAAGTGAGTATATTCTTTATTCTGGTTTGGTTTTCTGGTAGACCGGTCGTCTGGGACTGTCCAGTAAGTCGGAAGGTGACTTCTGCAGGACAGTATTGGGTATATACTTTGTGGTTAGTACCACAAGTATATCTGGGGACCTTGGGGTCCATCTGTATCTGGAACTGTCTGTAAGTCAGAAGGTGATCTTCTGCGAGGCAGCGTTTGGTATATACTTTGTGGTAAGCACCATAAGTATATTTGGGGACCTTAAGGAAAGAGCTCGCTTTAAGGTCCATCTGGAATTGTGTTGTTTATTTCGGTTTTCTGACTCATGGAGTATGGTATTTAACTCTGGTTATTGTTACTGTGATTTTGGCTATTTTTCTGGTGGTAATAGTAGGTTCGTGGCATTGTTACAAGAAAGATATCGTTACGGTGTTACACAGTTCGGTTTTCTGACTTATCGCATGTGGAATTTGACTCTGACTATTGTTATTGTGATTTTAGCAATATTGCTGGTAATAGTAGCTTTGTGACATCGCTACTGAAAGATATTGCGTGCCTGGAATTTTGTGAGTGATACGTTTTTGTGATACGCTTTTGTAAGTAACACGTGTATTCTGAAAGTGTAAACTGGAAAATGGGGGGGCGAGTAAGCAGTGAAATTCCTAAGAAAAGTGCGTTAGGATGTGTTTTGAGTCACTGGAAGGATATTGGAGGATCTGCCGGTGAAAGTGTGAACAGGAAAACATTGATAAAATATTGTAATCAATGGTGGCCGCGTTATAAGCTGGAATGTGGAGAAAAGTGGCCCCTAAATGGAACTTTAAACTCTAATGTTTTGCTACAGTTAATGTTGGTTTTGAGAAGGAGAATAGGATGAAATGTTGTATCAGCATCTTGGTGGGAAAAGGTACGGAATTAAGTTGGCCCCTGACTGAGCCTTTGATGTTGGCATTAGAGAAGTACAGGCTGGAGAAAGATAAAGGAAGTGTTAAAAGGGTTGTTGAAAGTGTTAAAGGTGTTTGAAGTTGAATGAGCAGGGAAAGAGGATGTAGGAATGTTAATAGTTCTGCCTCTGCTCTAGGCAGAGATCTTAAAATCATGG